CTTTCTAAACCCTGCCTGTTCCGGATTAAACAAGTTAGAGTGGTCAGCCCAGTCAACCAATTTATTTAGCAGGTAGCGAGTATAAAGTTTATACACAATGTCCAGGAGACTTATGGGGAGATAGTTTGAGGGGTCTTGGGGGTCTCCCTTCTTATAGATGGGGGCTACCAGGCTCAGTTTCCAGTTTTCTGGGATTTTGCATGTATCATTTATTACCGTAAAAAGTTGGGCCAGAAAAGGAGCCCACCACTGGGCATTTAGTTTAAGCACCTCAGGAGGAATCATATCTTCACCGGGAGCTTTGCCATTCTTGAGTTTTACTCAACTTGTTACCACCTCATTCACTTGCTAGAGCAGGAGTCGGTGGACCTTTGGCCCTCCAGATGCTGTTGGACTTCAACTCCCATAAGCCCCAGAGAGCATGGTCAATCAGGGCGCCAAGTATGGGGGGAGCCAAGGCCCTCACAAAATTCTAAATCAGCGAGCCGGGCCCCCCAACTTCTGTAGCAGCTGTGTGCGTACACCCTGAGGCATGTGTGTGTGACGTCAGCACGCCATGGGGTATGTGCGCATGGTGCACTGTTGTCATGTGGCTCCTGAGCCCGCTCAGTCATGGGGGCAAGGTGGTGGTCAATGATTAGAGATGATGGGAACTGTAGTCCAGCAATGCCTGAAGGGCCCTGTTACCGGAAAAATCTGAGGGCTCCCTTGGACAAAAAGTAAAGACACCAACCAGAGTAAATTGAAGCAAATCAGCAGCCTGTAGGCTTGGTCTTTATTGAAGAAAGACTGTCGCGACAGGGTGCTCCCCTCACTTGCAGGTGAGAGGAAAGACCCAGAAAGATGGTGTGCAAGACCTTATAAAAACTTTTGAAATTCCCACCCTGTAGGTCAAGCCCACCCCCAGAAACATCATGCATACATTACAGAAAGGAGGGGTTGAGGGAGGAGTTGTGGTGGTAACCTGAGTGTCCTGTCACCTGGCTGATTCCCTTCTCTCCCCCTCCCCACGAGTCACTTCCAGGAGACAAAGGGGAGTTGGCAGTTTCCTGCCCCCAGAGGGAAGATCTGATCATTGTCCTTTGTTTCAGTCCATGCTGAATCCACTCCCATATGCAAGTTCTTTGTGATCTTGATTGTGTCTAGGACCATCAGGGTTGGCATAGCAACTGGGCAGGGCTCCTGTGGATGTGCTGGGATGGTGAAGGGATTATGGCTGGCCTGTATCAAACCTTCCCCATTTTGTAGTCCTTCCTTCATGGAGTAAAATAAAAGTGGAACAGTGCAAATCCGATGTATGGTTGATTTTCTCTGAATTTATAACAGAAGCGTAGCGTATGTAGTGTGTGAGTGTGAGTGTGTGTGAAGTTTGTACAAACTGGATGATGGGGGGGGGGGGTTTCCTGCTACAGCCCAAAGGTTTCCCAGCTCTGTACTAGGGTAAGGAGGGTCCACCAATTATCCTGGCCCACTAGTAGGTGATGTGAATGCTGCTGCTCTGGAGAAAGTTTTTTGAGCATAGAATTCAGCATAGAACTCTTAATAGTTATGTGTTGGTGTGCAAGTCGCATGTATGACACTTGACACATCCATGGGTGGTGGTGTGCGTGCGTGTGACACTGCATAAGTGCGTGTGATGCTGCATATCCAGCTTTCTTATTTCAGTGCCAACGTGGCCCTTTCACAACCTTCGTTACAATGCTGCCCTGTCTGGGAGGTCACCACAAGTGACCTCCTCTATATTCCTTGACTTTTACTTAGCATTTCTGCCATTTTCAGTTAGTCTCTCTCTTTTCACAAATATTCATGCTCTCAGCCAGTTTCTGTTTTTAATGCAAGTTTAGCATCACCGTTAGCCAATGGACAGATTCTATTTGCATACATTTACATTAATTAATGTAGACAAAAGGACATTGGGAAGAATTCTTTCCCTACCCTTCTCTTTGGAAGACTCTCCAACTTCTCTCTCCTACAGCATATTTGTGAAATTTGTGTATTATCTCTGCACTGTGAGGAAATACTCTCCAGTGTTCTGTTTTACAAAATGCTGTTTCCTGTGAATTAGAGTGAAACGTAGGTCAGGAAAAATTAAGGCATGTGTATTACTCTGGTGCTATTTGTCAGACACTGGCAGGTGTAAAGGCCCTATGATGGAGAGGAGAGCTGTGTTTAGGGAGGATAATCAAATGCTAATGTGGTACACCACTGAGATCTGCTCTATATCTGAATAATTACCTATGGCTGACTATTTAGGTGTTAGTAACCGGGTCAACACCAGTTCAGCAGCTGTACTCATTCTGTCTGACTTCAAGAGTCGAGCACGTGGATGCCATGCTCAATGCTTCAGGTGTTGTTTTGCTTATATGGCATAACTATACAATTTGCCTTGGTCTATGCTCTTCTTCATGAGAAGAGAAGACTCCCTGGAGAAGACACTGATGCTGGGAAAGATGGAGGGCACAAGGAGAAGGGGGCGACAGAGGACGAGATGGTTGGATAGTGTTTTCGAGGTTACCAGCATGAGTTTGACCAAACTGCGGGAAGTAGTGGAGGACAGAGGTGCCTGGCGTGCTCTGGTCCATGGGGTCACGAAGAGTCGGACACGACTAAACGACTAAACAACAACAACAACATACAATTTGCCTTGGCCTATGCTTGCAGCTGTGTTGCCCACCACAGTGCAGTTGGTGATGGCTTCCCATCTTATCTTTTACCAACACCATAATGTTCGTTGGTTCCAGTATTGTTCCCCTATATTGTGTTATTGCTGCTGCATTGCTTTCTATTGACGTTTTGTTGTTGCTGTTGACCTTTTGGCTGAGGGAAATATGTGTTCTTCTAGGGCAGAAACAGACCACGTTCACACCATACATTACTTGGTGGCCAGGAAAAAATAGGTATATAAAAGGAGAATTCCTGGATGCCAAGACCCAAATTTGGGGCAAGTACTCTTTGGTGAGATTTTTTTTTTTTTTAATGCAGCGGAGTTAAGTGCGGAAATATATGCTGTTAGACCTTTACAATATGCTTTTCTAAGTTTCTTCCAAAATAGTCTTCTCTTTCCCCAGCACAGGAAAAGACCATGTGTTTAGCAAGTGAAAAAATGTTTTACTTACAAACTCTCCAAAGGTCAGATTCATATGCTTTTCCATACATTAGTCAGAAAACACAGGCAATACAACTTGGCTTAATTACTTCAGTGAAAGTTTCTAAATTGTTGGTATAGGGATACAAGAATGCCTTGTAAAAGCCAAGACCTCATATGTTGAGCTTCTCAGGTAGACTGAAGGTGAACAAAGGCCTTGATTACCTTTCTCCCAAGATGAGGAGTAAACTTAGCCACTTTGGGAAAGCCGTGGATGTTTAAAGATGTATTACAGTGCTTTAAATGTATGGTGTGAATGTAGCCACAGTTTAAAATCAGAGAATATGAGATTAATTGACATAAGCCAGGATCATTAAACTGAAGGGAAAGCCTTGTTTGCCATACTATCCATTTGCCCTTGGCACAAGGAAAGATGTAGACACAGGAATGTGTTCTGAGACCAGGGGTTGGTAACATTGTGGGTGGCAGCTTAAAAATACCTTATTAAAAATAACCTAAGTGAAGGGTGGAAGTGTTGTGAGGTACCCAAAGGCAAAAAAAAAAAAGTGAAACAGAGTAGCAGGCCTCATCAAGCTAATACCGCATTAGGAGGTACGTTCCTGAAGAATAGAAGAAACAAACAAAATCAATTCATTTATCTTTTTTCTAAAATGTTGTCTCTTTTTTTTGTAAGACTTCCCTTTATAAGAAAAATTACATCTGATACATTCTTCTTCTTTTGCCCCTAAGGAAGATTCTTATCAAAACACTTTGGGCTTTTTATATCTTCTATACTTCAGAAATAAATCATCTTATGGGTACCAGCTGGAGGCCCACCTTTCGTTCTGTGTTGCTATTTATAACGTTTACCGTCCAGGCACACAAAAAGTGCCTCATGAAACAATAGCTGTCTCCTTCATCTGGGCTTGCCATCTCATGGCTTTGAAGGGCGCCTTTAATCAGCCGGATGTCAGGTTGAGGTTCAGCAAGAATGAGGGAAATGGCTTCAGCTGTACGATAGGCGAGGGGGCTGAATTGCTTCCTGCCACTGAACTAAGGATCAGGAATAGGTATTCCTGCAGTAGCCTAAGAGAGAGGGTCATTGTTGCATGAATCCCTGATACAAAAAAAACCCCTTTTCTTTGACAGTATTTTATCCCATAACTTCTGAAACATGGGAGGATGGAAGGTTGTCACAAAACCTGACATTCCATATAATACAAGATATGGCGGGGGAGCCAATGTGGTTGTTGGACTCCCAACTGCCTTCATCCCCCAGCTAGCATGGCCAATGGTTAGTGGTGATGGGAGTTGTAGTCCAACAACATCTGGATACATAGCCTACCTTAGGGCTACTGCTATCACCCTCCTTCAGGGGTCAGCAAACTTTTTCAGTAGGGGGTCGGTCCACTGTCCCTCAGACCTTGTGGGGGGCCGGACTATATTTTGAAAATAATAATGAATGAACTCCTATGCCCCACAAATAGCCCAGAGATGCATTTTAAATAAAAGCAAACATTCTACTCATATAAAAACACCAGGCAGGCCCCACAAATAACTCAGAGATGCATTTTTAAATAAAAGGACACATTCTACTCATGTAAAATCACGTTGATTCCTGCACCCTCTGCAGGCCAGATTTAGAAGGTGATTAGGCCGGATCCAGCCCCAGGGCCTTAGTTTGCCTACCCATGCCCTACTTCCTCCTGAATCCAAGGTTGAGTTCAAACTTTCTTGGTAATTTTAAGTAAAAGCTACAGAACCTGAAGGCATGACGTTCCCTCCATTGGCTGTTGAGTTAAAGAACTGGAGTAAATGAGCAGTTGAAATTCACATTCAAGCATTTCTTCAAACAAAATATATCACTGTGGTTGGGGTGGGGTCTCTCCTGTGCTGCTCTTTGCAGGGTGCTCGGCAAAGGAAAAATGTTTAAAAGCATGTGATAGTGTTAACGTCTTAGCTGCATATTGTCCACTTGTATAACCTACACCTAGAATGTCATTCTTTGCCAAGGAGTAATAAACCTTAATCTTTCTTTATCCATCAGTCAACCATCAGTCTTGCCAGGCTCTTTGTTTCTGCACACTGCTGCAACATATTTACCAAACACCAGCACGTGTTTTTGTGAAATCTGAGTGTTGATCTCTACAGCTGAGGGGTTTGCAGCACAAAATCCCTTCACTAGGCCAAGCATGTGCTTAAACTCATTTTTCCCAGGCAGAGCCTCCCAAGTCCTGCTGGTGGAGGTCCGTTAGCACAGCATTCTGGGTAGGTGAGAGGGCTGGTTGTTTTTTCTCTATGTTTTGCAACTGAAATAAGAAGACTTCTACCTCAGGGCTGTCAACCTGGCACCTGCTGCTCATGTTGGTTTAATGAGAAAAAGAAAGAAAGGCACAGGTACAGTTGAAACATTTCTGTTTTCTTTGTAAATAACCTGTCACTATATGCTGAAGCACCTCTGGAAAAGGGCCAGCAATGAGTTAAATGCACAAAAGGTTTATAGCCTATTCAGCAGGGTGAGGTGCTGTGCTGTGCTGCCACTGTGCAGCAACTGGGGGAGGAGGAAACCCTGTAATCTTGCCAGAAGACGTGACAAGGCAAACACATGAAAACTGTTAGAGTCACACTGTGTGGGTTCTTAGCTGCTGCTGGCTGACTTGCAGTCTCCATGATGCCAGTGTGGCTGCACAGGATTAATCTGGCCTCTGTCATCACCACCTCTCAATCCCACTGGTAATGGTGCTGAGTATGGTGGCCCAGCAGTGGCCACCATTAAGAATATGAGAATAGCCAGTGCTTTTTTTCCTATTAAAAATGTTTAGGGGTACTCTCAAATACAGTAAATGGACAAAAGTACAAAGATACAAAATGTTTAGGGGTATGTGTACCCCTGCGTCCCCCCAGGAGAAAAAGCACCGAGAATAGCTTTGCTGGATCAGCTTTATTAGTAGAAGCTTCTCTTGTGGCCAGCAGGCCTCAAGCAAGAACATGGGAGTGAGAGAATGTGCTAGATGGAAAAAGAGTGGATTTTTCAGTGCCTCACTGAAACCAGGGATGTTGTGCTGTGTGAAGGGGAAGTTCTGGTCACCTCTTTTGTACTGTCTCTTTAAGAGTGAGGCCCAGAAAGCCTCAGCAGCACCTGCAGGCCATGTGAATGAATTGGGAGAAACAGTTTTCAAGTTTGGGAAAGACGCCATTAGGAGCAGTAGGGCCTGCATAATTTCCTCAGAAGCTGGATGGTGCTGCTGGAAGTGAAAGACAGGCAATGGTATTTGAGGAGAATAAGGTAGGCCTTGTCTATCCCCACCTCACTACAAGAAGTCTGAGCTAAACCTGATAATGTTGAGATTCTGAGATGACCACTGCAACTCTGAAGTGGGGATTAAGAAATATGCCTTTGTAGAGATGGGACACTGGCACCAGGGCTTTATCTGAGTCACTTTTAGTTTAGTTTGGTTTTCTTTAATTTCTTCATGAGGCAATAAAACACAAAAAGGCAAATCAGGCAGTAAAAGCTGACCAATATGAGCAGACCGTGATGAAAGTTCAAAGACAACACATTTAAAACTAGTCTTAAAGCAAAGTGGAACAACAACCCTGTCCCCTCACAAAATCCTTTAACAAATGTCTACAAACACACTGGCTGGGAGTTCCATAGACTTGATATTCAGTGGAAAAGGCACTTTGCATCCTGTCCTGAGTGAAGTGACCAGGGATAATTAAAGTTGTTCTAATAGGGATATAGGAGAAATTTGGTTCAGGTCACATCTGCCTTGAATGGCAAGATTTGGTGGTATTCAAGCATTTGAAAACCAAAGGTAGCCATGTTGGGTGCAATCTACAACAGGGAATGATGATTTTCCATTACCTGAAGATTGGCTTTGCATTTTAAGGGTTAAATTCCCCTCCAGCAACTTAGTACCGGTAATACTATACAAGTAACCCTCTTTACCTAAGGCACCATCCTTAATCAATCCCTGGCTTTGCTAAATGAAAGACTGCCATGTTTCTTTTTTACTTCTGCTCTCTGCCTACCCAAGGAACCAAGTCCTTGGTTGAAGGTTTGGGACAGTTCTGGGGTACAAACCAGAATTTAATTTAGTAATAGTTACTCATTTTGGGAACAATGGAGTGTCTTTGAAAATGAGAATTCCCTTAATATGCATTTCCTGTGATTCCTCCTTTGTTACTCCTTTTCCATAAATTCCCTTAGATTAGGGATAGGGAACCCTTTTTTAGCCTGAGGGTTGCATTCTTTTCTGCGCAACCTTCTGAGTGTCAAATACCAGTGGTGGGTAGGGCCAGAGACAAGTGGGTACAGCAGCAAGTGTGAATTTTATCTTAGTAGTGTAGGCTAGTCTCTACACACACACACTCCTTTCTACCCTCTGTCCAGGCAAGCAAAAAACATATCAGTACTCAAATTATAGCCAGGCAAAAGCCCTAAGGAAGATGCAGAGCAGGGCTGTTGATGAATGTGATGCAGGGAGAGTACAGTACCAGGAGCTTGGAAGGCCTGCTATACTTGAAGGAAGTTGCCTTTGTGTTGAAGGATCCTCATTCTCCTATTATCTATCATACTGTTTGCCTGCAAATGTATTGTTCTGCTGAGGACTTGGCTGTGACAAAACCATCAGCCTCCAAAGCTGTGCAAGGTCAAATAACACCACCGATACATAACGCCACTGGTGTTACATGGTTGGGTACATGCTGTCTGTGTTTTATCACTGGTATTATCCACGGTATTAGGTGGCAGAAGTCAGTATTAACAATTATGATTGTGCACGGTTGGTTAAGTTTAATCTGATGCATTCCGAGCTAAACACAGGGCAGATGTAGAGGTTTCGATACATGCACAAGAGGCAGAAGGAGGTGATACCTTGCTCCAAATCACATTGTCTGGAGTTTGAAGCATGGACCTGAGGAACAAGGTCTTCTCAACAGTGTCACCTTACACTATAGAACTCCCCAAGAAACTCCTTCCCAGGGATGTCCAGAAAAACTGTAAAATTGTTGTTTAAATTTCAGCAAGCATATTGTGGGTAGTGACTCATTTTAACTGTTGTAATGGCTGCTGTTCATAAGTTTGGAAGATATTTTAGGATTTTGCTTTAACTGTTGGATTTTAGGATGATTAATTTTATTATGCTTTAATGGTTGCCTTATGGGCTGATAAGTTACAATATGTTGGCAGCTCCTCTGAGGGTCCTTTGGAGGTGAATGGTGGGATATAAATCCAAAACTAATATAAACAAACGTACACAGAAACAGGAATTCCCTGCTGTAAGAGGAGTACACTATAGATTTGGTTACTATAACAGATGGTAACACATATTCCATACAGATAGAGCTATGTTTGTTATCCCCCGCCCCAATTGCCTTTAGAATGATTTGCAGTCCACCTAACCCAACTCTTTGGGTGACAACTGCTCCCCTCTTCCCAGTGGAATGGGGTGGAAGCGATAGACCTCACTGAAGTCCCAACTCAATTTGCCTCCCTCATCCTATGCCTGATTTTAAAAGAAATTGAGTTAGACAGGAGATTTGATCAAAAATCACCAATATCTTGTCTAGGCCATGTCCAGACGGGAGTATTATCTCACAAATGGGTTGTTAAGATCAGATTTTTTTCTGTGTACACAGTTGGCACATGAGGGTCAACACATGGCCATTTTTTCTTCTTTTAATGCCTTTTTAATTTTTTAACAAATTCCTATTTTTTCACTCACCTTATGAATGGCTATTCTGCTGCTTGTTGGCCACCTCACAGCATAAGCTTGGCAGAAAATATATTGGGTGTAGGTAGCTTGTTTGTTTTTGTCCCTCAATCACTCCTCTGTGCACATACACACACCCTGTTAATTTACAGGATTAAATTGTAGTTCACTTGTTCTTTCTTTCTTTTGGTACTATTCTGATTTAATAGAATTGTACAAGATCTGTCATAATAACAGCAAATTGGGGATTCTTGGTGCTGTGTGTGTGTAGCTTTCTGTAAATTAAGATCATTCTTCTCTCCCAGCCTTCTACAACTGACATCCAACTTCAATTTAAAGCACCTCAGGGTCCTATGTTGTAGCTGGGAGGGAGGGGAATCAATCTGACCTAAACCTCTCTCTCCCCAAACCTTTCCAAACACCCTTAGTTTGGCCCTCACCTTTCATTGTGATTATGCTGTTGTTGAGGTCCTAACTCCCTGACCAACTTCAAGCTTCCAGGCCAAGTCTAGTGCTTTGTATTCTAAATCCTTCCACAAACATGGCTCTGCTTGCTCCTCTGATGTTGACAGAGTGGTACTGTGCTTGGAGATGCAGAAATAGCCCCACTCCACATGCTGGCAGAAGGAGAAACACCCTCTCCAGACAGAGATGCTTGCTAATTATAACACAAGGAGGACCTTGAGTTTGGAGGCTCGCTGTTTAGCCCTGTTATTATTATTGCATGATTAGCAAGGGGACTGGAGAAAACCTTTCATACGTAGAGTTCAAATTGCCTTTGAACCTCTTGCATACTACTTACATGAATTTCTGATCACTGTTAAGTGTTGTTGCACAATGTTTTGCAAGAGTTGCCTCTCCGAAGGGCAATAATGCAGTGACATCGAGGTAGTATCACAAACAAAACAACTGTGGTGGTCCAGTATAAATCCTCTACTAATGCCCATTACTGTGTAAATGACATGTTGCAGAATGCACTCTCAGAAAAGCAACCAGTCTCATGGGGCCCATGGTCAGCATTGATAGCACTGAAAAGTCGGCCCCATAGCATTTCCAAAGGTTAAAGGTTGGCTTTAGGAAATGGTTGGTGAAGACTCTGGAGAAGACGGCTAATCAAATCTTTCCCCAGGCTCCCTGCCTGTATCTCAAGTGCGCTAGGAAACAAGCTCACATTGAGTATTGTTTCGTACTCTCACAGAGAGCCTGAGGGAGTTTGTTATTATTTTTTTCCAGCTACAATTGTCACCTTGCTTGTTCATTGGCACCCAGTGGCCTGGCTGAAGCACTGCAACCTTTTTTAAAAAACAACAAAAAACAACAATGTTTTTATAAAGAAATTATTGGCTTATGAAGGTACATACAGCATCTCTGTTTTCCATTCATAGAATCCTTTCTATGGATCAGTTATATGTGATGTGAGACACTAATGTTATGGACAGCACAGTAGTACCTTGGGTTAAGAACTTAATTTGTTCTGGAGGTCCGTTCTTAACCTGAGGTACTACTTTAGCTAATGGGGCCTCCTGCTGCCGCTGTGCTGCCACTGCATGATTTCTGTTCTCATCCTGAAGCAAAGTTCTTAACCCAAGGTAATATTTCTGGGTTAGCGGAGTCTGTAACCGGAGGTACCACCGTATAGGGTTGCAGAATAAGAGAGGGGAGGAGAAGAGGGGGTAGTAAACTTTCATTCTTTTATGTGCAAGGTTTCTGTGTCAGCGTCTTGTGGGTAGGTTCTCTTTCTATTCATTTATTACTTTTTGTTGGTGGTGAGAGAGGTTGGGGGGCCCAGGGCATGGTTGGCTGACATTAGTTTGCTGCAGTGAGTTTTATTTCCATGTGTGAGGGAGACGAGTTTTTGGATCCAGTTAGCCACATCAATTTGCATGCTTTCAGTGGGTTCTTGTTGTTGTCTTGTTGGGCTGTGTATGTAATGAAGGGAAGCCACACCGGGGTGAAGGCGTCCTCTTTTGTTTGTTCCTGTGCTAATTTCAATTTGTTGGCAAGTTTTTCTAGTAGGGCTGTTTCCCATATGGTTTGGTACCCATGGTACATGTTCACTCCAGACAGGTCCCTCCAGTGTCATGATGCTCCTGGCTGCTGAGAGTAGGTGACGTACGAGTTCTTTGCAGTGTGAGTGTGCGCTTTTGGCTTGGAAAATACTCAATATGGCCAGTTCTGGGGTGGCTTCTAATACCTTATCGATGTCCTGGCATGAAAGAGAGATGGAGGTCAGGAGTGCTCCTTTGGAAATGTTTGTTCATTGTCTAATGGGAAGACTCGAGTGTCTCCCTCACTCTGTGTTACAAAGAGGTGGAAAAGGCCAAGTAGAAGAACATGGAATCAGTTGTATATGCAGATGGGGGCAGGAGCGGGTTGCAGGTCAGCTTGCCATAAATCAGGTTTACAGCAATTTGTTGAGATGAGATTAGCCTAGCTGTAAAATGCAAAGTACAGGATTGAAAGCAAGAATAAACCTGCCACATGGCAGCAGAAGAGAATGGGAAGTATATGAATTTAGGAGTCATGAATTTGATTCTCCGCATCCCATTTCCCCCATACGGCAGTTTTAGGCAAGTCATTATATCTGTCAGTACTCTAGTTTCTGCCTGGAGAAACAGAATTTAACCACAAGGCTTGTTTTGTTGTCTACAACCCAGACTTGGCACTTGGGAGGGAGTGCTGCCTCTGACCATGCACAGAGTGCTTTTCTTTTCCCATTAGATTATGATGTAGTTCTCACACATTTGGGTTTAGTGGGAGACCTGCCAAGACAGATACTGTGATTCCTTGGTAGGCTTGAGCCCTGGTACATCTTAATTCAGGAGCCGAGCATTTAATGTTTTATTTAACTTCCTTCTTCTTTCTTTGTTTATGGAAGATTGTCTTCCATAAACACGGTTTTAACAATGAGTCCGTAAGTGACTGTGGAGCCCAATTCTGAACCCACACATCCTTCCACAGTGGGGACATTGGTTTCTGGGCGGGAGTTGATCACGGTGTGGATTTGCCAAGTGTGCCTTCCTTTTAGCACGTTTCTCCCTTGCATTCTGAGTTTGAGTGTCTTCAAAGTCCATGACACATTTAGTAAAGGCTGTTCTCCAACTGGAGCACTCAGCAGGCCAGTGTTTCCCAGTTGTCAGTGTTTATACTACATTTTTTTAGATTTGCCTTGAGAAAGTCTTTAAACCTCTTTTGTTGACCACCAGCATTACACTTTCCATTTTTAAGTTCGGAATAGAGTAGATGCTTTGGAAGACGATAATCAGGCATCCACACAACATGACCAGTCCAACAAAGTTGGTGTTGAGGGCCAAGCATACTTTATCAGACTCCAGTGGTAATACATTAACTGATAAAAGAGTTAATTAAAAGTGCTCCAAGGTTCTCTCCCCTCCCCCCCAATTCTAGGACCAACCCTGGCTTTTAAAGCAGCTTCTCTGTTGGTGAACACTGGCTCAAATAAAGTCCAGATCTGGGATCTATGACTGATTTTACCACTTACATCTGATACCTCAAATATAGGCTCACTGCAGGAGGAAAGTTGCATCCATTATGCAGCCTTGGTAAACCTCTGGCTAGATTACTGCAATTTACTTTACATGGGACTGCTCTTAGCAACTAGGTGCATAATCTAGCAGCCTGTCTTGAAGAAACACCCTTTAGCATGTGAGCTTCTCTGTCCTCTGAGGTTATCTAATGTAGCACGGCTTCCTGTGCCCTCCACACAAAAGGTAAAATCCCTCTTGGGCATTAAAACCCTTTTTGTTTCACCAGTTATTCATTTTGTTTTCTTCGTGCGCGGCTTGTCATTTGGATCCAAGTTCCTAAAGAGGTTAACCATAAAAGATGAATTAAACACACACACACATATTAAAAGAGGAAATGCATGAAACATACTAACATGGTCCTCCAAAACAGCAATTAAAAACAGCTGTGTTAAATTGGCATTAGGGTTGGTGCTGGCTGTTGTTTCTCTCGTTTGCTGCTTTACTGTTACGTTCATGGGTTTTCTGATTTTAAACTATGTGAATTTACTGTATCGTTATCGTTAAGGCAAGCTACCGTAAATACCTGACTGAAAAAGATGGGGAACACATCTTAGAGTGAGTGGAGAGTGAACAAGTATAGTATTAGGGAATGAAAAGTTCCTGACCCAAAGTAAAAAATCTACTGCAGACCATCCCTCTCAGTTAGGGAACTGAAGCTGCAATGCACACTCACCTAGGGGTAAAGAGAACTCAGTGGGACTTAACTTCAGAGCAGACATGCATAGGATGCTTACTCACAGGCTCAGGACTGGTTCTGATTCCAGGTTCTTTATCAGAACTGGATCCTATGATGGTGGTGAGTTGGACAACCTCAGGAAGGTGTTCTTGATGGTGAAACTGCTGGCTGGGTGTGCCAGAAAGAGTGCGCTAGCTGGGTGTGACTGACTGGGTGGTGCTCATGGCCCCAGGGAGATGCTCGGATTCTCTTAGTCAAGCTAGGGCCTGTGCTTGTTCATCAGCAGGCAAATATGTGTGTATATCGGGGGGGGGGGTTTGTTTCACTCTGGCTTCCCCAGAAAGAAAAGGATTTTTAAAATTCCTAAGCAAATGCCCTTCCAAAACAGCAGTTAAAAACAACAAAAGATGAAAAGAACAGTCATACCCCCAAAATTAAAGCTGTAACGCAGCAACACCCTACCTATTACTGTTTTTAACAGAGGCGGGGAAACCAAAAAGCAAATTAAAGAGAAGGTGTAGTTGTCCATGGCCTCCAAATATCTAAATTTGGCTTTTTAGCATAGGAAACGGTGCCTTATATTGAATCAGATCATTGGTTCACTTACTGTCAGCAGCTCTCCAGGATTTCGGGTGGGAGTCTTCTCTGCCCTACCTAGAGGTATCAGGGATTTTATTGCTATTTATTCAATTTACGGTGTATCCTGCCCTGCCTCCTGAAAGAGCCTAGCGCAGCAAAGAGGTCCACATTTCTTAAACACACACACACACACACACACACACACACACACAGTTAAACCATTCTGGAAGCAATTACGGTTAGAAGCATTCTAAAAGCAGGTACAGTTCAAAGCACTATTCCAGCCAGTGTTCTTGTGCTTGCCAGGAACCATATTCTTCAACCACCAAATGCCTGGGTAAACCGGAACATTTTCAAATTCCTCCTAGAAGTTATTAATGGTGGCGACAGGTGCACCTCACTAGCGAGGGCATTCCACAGCTGGAGAAGCACCTATGAACAAGGCAATGTCATGGGTCAGCACTAAGCTGGCAGCCCCAGGGCTGAACAAGGGACCTTCTGCATTCAAAGCAAATGCTTTACCGTGGAGATACCACCAGTCCATGTATTTCTGTTTATTTTGGGCTTGCCTGTTTGAAATAATTTTGTACCTCTGTAATGTAAATAGTCTAGTTTTGTAGCATTCTTTATTTTTTTAATGAAATGTAAGCCACCTTTTGTGTTGCTTTGCCCCCAAAGGTACGTTTATTGAAATAAAGGATAGAATTCCCACATTAGCTCACTTGTCCCTCCCTTCAGGTTGGGTTGTCTCAGTGGCCATGTTTGCATGTATTGGCTCCTGGGGAGATCACACCTGCTTTGCTCCAGTCTTTTTAGGTGGTGCAGCACAGCTGCTAACAAGCCTTGGCTTAGCACAGTTATCTGAACTGGAGATTGTGGCTGAGCTTTTCCCTCTTTAACTGTGATGTGTAGCCAAGGTTTTTTCTTGGTTGTAGATTGTGGTTAAGGAGGAGAAAGTTTAATCACAATCTTGGGTTCAGATGACACACTAAGTCCAAGGCTTGCTTTAGCTGCCATGCTTCCATGAGCTCAAAGGTGCAAAGCAGATGTGAGCTCTGCTCTGGGAACAAGCATATTTGTGTGGTCCATCAGCCATGGTTTGACTTGCCATGATGTGCAAGCTATGTTGTTCATGTTGTCCGCATGTCCTGCTATGCAACTGCAGGGCACCTTTATAAGGGAGAACAACCAGAGTGATACTACAAGAGAGGACAGGCGCTAGTGGGAATATTACGGTATTTAATGGTTGTCTGATGTGGTGCTGCCTGAAGGTGCCACTGCAAGTGTTAGGCAACTGAGGTGTGAGGCCCAACTCTGCTAGTTAAATTGGGTTTGAACAGTATCATAATTCATGTAACAATCATGACAACTCAATTATCAGGAAAATGTGCAGGGTCCAAGGTTTTACGGAAACGGTTTGTGTGACTGGATATGTTAGGGTGAATTTCTGTACTAGGTTGGTGTTTTAACAAAGAAATGCTTTGACTTTGGGTTCACACTTTCTAAGTCACCTATGGCAGTGATGGGTTGGTGGGTGAGGCAGAACGTAGAAGTGGTGTTTGTGCAATGAAGGGGGAAGAAAATGAATCCTTATCTGCCTGTTGAGGCTGTGCAAGCTAGCATTGACTTGCTAACTGACATTGGAAGCAGTACCCAATTAATATTTTTGTTTGGAAAATAAGCACAACCAATGAGAAGCCAAATACCCTTTTTTATTAAAAAAAAGGGGGGGGGAAGTTCACTTTCCATTATGCTGATGCCTCCAGCTTGTCAAGTTGATAAGTGGGAAAGAAACTCCATACGTATCTCTTGCTTAGCTGCTCCCTTGCCTTTTGGGATTGCTTCAGCCCAGGGATTTGTAGGTAGCAGTTGCTGTGATGTGCATGATTAAATAATTCCTAATTTCTTTTCCCTTCAGAACTGATTGTCCCCAGCTCCCAAGCTATCTCAGCAGCCTGATTTAGGAGGAGGTAGGGAAAGCTTTTGTTGTTGGTGTTGCTATTGTTGAACAGTTGGGAATCAGAAATCCTTGGTGTCCCAAATATCAAGGGGTGGATGCCCATCTATCTTCTGCCCCACCTCTGATCTTGATCGCATAAGGGAAATGCTTTGTATATGACAACACATATTGGCAGTGCTGATATCTTCTTTGCATCTCTCCTCATTTTCTTCTGGGTCATCCACCTGTTGTGTTTTGTAAGCAAAGCAAGGTGATGGTGAGCTGTTTTTGTGCTGCAGTGGAAGATGCTCAGCTAGAGAAGTCCAGGTGACAGACTACTCCTGTTGTTCTTTTGTGTGAAAAACATAGAGCACACTTAGTAGCCATGCCAAGGTTTACAACAAAAATAGAAATTAATATATAGTTAAATTAAAACAATATAAGTAACTATCCCTGTATTCAAACAGCCAAGATAAAACCAGAAATAAAACTGATAGCTTTAAAAGGCCAGCCTATGAAAAATAACAAGTGAGTGGGTCTGATGGACCTCTATAGGTAAGGAATTCCCATAGGGAAGATGCTCCTGTCAAGAAGCCCTTGTTCCTTGATGCCTTTGTGTAGCCTAGGAGGGTGGGGTTCTCATATCATGCCTTCTTCTGATTATTTTAAGAGTCTTCAGAGGAACAAATGAGATGAGGCATGCCTTCCACTACCCTGGGCCCATACCCATGGAGCTTTAATGACAGAACAAATCCATAACAAAAACCAACAGGTTTCATTGACTTTTCAGCTTAGGCCAACTCAGCTGTGGGCACCTATCAGTCCAATAGGGTGGATATGGAAGGTCTGAGATCCTTAATTGTACCACTGCAGTCAGGAATAGTATCGGGTGAAACAGCCTGATCCCAATACTATGCAAAATCTGGAACCAACAGCATAAGCACCCACTCCAGTTTGTCTGATGCACAGCTGGCCACCAGTATAATGCAATTGCATGGGTCAGTGTGTAATGGGCCTCTAGATGTGGCTCTAACCTTGCTGGGCTAGGTATATACTGATGAGTTATCAAGATGATATTTACTGCATGGGCTCTATATCTCCTCCTTGCCCAGAGACTAAGAATGGATTCATGGAGACTGCATAAATGTGGTGCCTTGAGGTGATATGTGAGAGGTGGAAGTTTCTTCCTGTTATAGTTGTAGACCTAATGAATTACAAGAGGGAAGTCTTGAGGCCTGCTAACTTGTGTATAAGCTGAACAAGATCCTCTCCAAGGGGTGATGAGGTTGAGACCCAGCTTCTGAAAACCATGACTTAGCTGTGGGTAAGGAGCAAAAATGCTGAGATTTCCCCCCTCTTTAATATACACATATACCCTGATACAAAACACAACACTGATAATATATAATAATCTATAAAAACCTACTATCAAAAATATAACAAACTCATTATTTAAACACTATCATTCAATTATTCACATGTTGTTTCTCAAGCAATTATAAGCTTTATATCTTTTTATTCCAGCAGCAAAAAATATTTTAACATTAAGCTGGTGTTATGTACGTTACAAAAGGGGACCAAAGTTTTTTTAATCGTTCTTTTCTAGCTGCCCTGCTGTTAATCAGTTCTGTGCACCAGCAGGCTTGCTTATTCATGGCTTGCCTTAAGTGAGGCTATTGTGGCAGAGACAGCGTTCCTTATGAGGTCTGGCCAGAATGGGAAAAGATTAATGCAGGGAAGTCAGCTCCTCTATAATGAGATCCTGGCTTTCCTGGAACAAAATGCAAAGGGAGCACTAATCAGGGACACGATTATTCAGAGAAGATGAGGTGCCATCTTTCATGAGTTTGTTCTTCTGCTTATGCCTTTGCAGGGATTAGCAGGCTGTAGTAACTTGCCATCAGCTCTGTATCCATGTATTTGACGCTTGAAAGAGTCTGCATTGCAAACAGCCTTAGCTGAATCTCCATAGCTAGCAAAAAGGAACATCTATCATGGCAGAATCAGACTAATAGTGTTGCCCCACCCCCAAGTGTGCTTTGTTCAAAAACCCAAAATGCATTTAGCCACATTTTCTTAATGAACAAATTTCCTAGCACCTGCCGAGTTCCTCCTGCCTCTCGTGTCCTTTTCGCAGTGGCACTGCCTGCCTGCATTCTATTTTTTCCCTTCTCTTTAGCGCTAAATATAGCCCAAAAGCATCTCAGTGTGACCACACCCAGCTGTGGCCGGCCAGGGTGAAACCTGTGTGGCAGGGCAGAGCAGCATTGATGAAATCTGGATGCGAGTGTCAGTTTGAAGGCATTTCTTTCTCATCCTTAATGCCTTTTCTAAAATTCAGAAAGTTGTTTTTCTCTTACAGAAACGAATACAATGTTCCTTTCTCTTGCCCCCATTTAACGCAACCAGGCGCTCAGCATGAGTGGCGTTCTTTTCCCCCACTGCACTTTCCACAGGTGGGGCGAGGGCAGTTCACCATCCACAGCATGGCAAAGGGAGAGGGCACCAGCAGAAGTTCTCACGGATGCCATTGTGACCATGCAGGCAAATCCAGGCTGAAGCGTAAAGGTGTTTTGGGTAGTACTTGCTCAAACATGCCCTCCAGTTTCTTTAGATTTCTTCCCTTGTAAAAAGGGACTTCTGTTTTTCTGCTTCATTCACAAAGTGCTTTAAAAGGCATTTGTAATTTTGCAAAGAAGACTATGGTGTGTTTTTCTTTCTATTAAGTATTTCCCTGGCACTCTGCAGCCTTCCTGATCTGAAAAGGCCCATGGGATGAATTTCCTCCATGGTCTACTCTCCTGGAGCTACCTGAAGCTGGGGCGACTGGCAACCTAGCTCCTGGATTTAAGCGCTCTTCCCTTTGTTTCTAAGGGAAGCGCTTCCTAATACATTTTTTTTAAGTGTACTGATTTCTTTAAAAGTAAAAATAACTTAAAAGCTGGGAGCATGGTAGACAACCCTCCTAGCTTCCTGTGCTTACAGCAAAGCCCACCCTGGGATGTCACAGGCTTTTCATGCTTGGAGGGGCTGCAGAATGCAGAGCACCAGGGAGATGACTTTGATAATTTCAGAATGCAATTTCTTTTCTCATTTATGATAGAGATTGCTTGGGGAAAAGTGGGAGAAGTTTTCAGCACAGCACCAATTGCAGTGTCAGACCCTCTTGGGGATAGTTTAGGCGAGGCAAAGGTTGAGTGCACCAGTAGTGTCACAGCACAATACTCTTCCTATACCATTGCATAGCTGGGAGGGGAAGGATCTTTGCAGTGGAAATCAACCTTTTTTCAGATGGCATTTGCAAAGCACCAAAACTGAAACCTGGGAGATAATCAGAACCAAGACATTTACTTTATTTTTAATAACAATATCAATAAAAATAACAAAATAAAACAAAACCAGACATAACTTTCTGAAAACAGCTTTCTACCTCATAATTTCACAGAAATTAGCTTGGAAATATTGTTGTGCCCTCCCCTCCTTTGATTCCTGCACCATCCCTTTCTGTTACCCCTACCACAGCAGCCTGTGAAGATGAACCTGAGGATAGTGAAACCTCACCTACTTCTCCAACTGTGTGTGGAAAAGGAGAGGGGTTCCTCTGGAAGTAATGTTGATTAGAGGAAAACATGGTCCTCCAGTCCACTCTTTCAGCCCATCCTGATTTTCCTAGCTATCCAATCCCCTCCCCAAAATGAGGGTTTTTATGGTGGTGGGTATTCACACCTCATAGCATGAGGATGGTACCCAGCTTTCTTTCATCAGCTTGGTTGGGTGACTGGAGAAGAGTGGGCAGTAACTGGAAGCTTAAGCTCACTGAGCAGCTCAGCACTCATGAGTTCCCAGGGTTTCTCCTTAATTCCTGGCAGCTCCAATGCTGATGGTTATACAGAAACCCACCTACTCTCTCTGTGGCCACTTCAGATGGCACAGAGAGCTACTCAATACTTTCCTTGTACATTCAAACAACAGATGAAGGATGAAAGGGAAGAATGAGAAGGGTGCAAGCCATTTCTGATGTGAATGTGTTGTGATGGGAAAAGAAAGTGGAAGGCCTCAATACTTTTCTGTTCCTTTGCCATTTCATTGAAGTGTGAAAGAGAACTGTACTGTTCCTATCTGGAATATGGGAGTCTCTGCAGCTCTAGTGCAGGGGAGATGTGCAAGTTCTCTTTCTGATAAGACTGAGATGTGGAAGAACAGGAAGCACGAGGTGCCTATACCCCCAGACCCCTTAGCAAGATTATTGCATCTGAAGTGACTCTGAGAGTAGTGAAGGGCACTCTCATGATCGTACCCTCTCTCTCTCTTGAAACTCTTTCCCCCAATCTCCATCCTAGCATGATCTTCATCAGTCACAGAAGCAGCAGGTATGTGTAGGAAGATCACAGGGGGCTAGATTTGGGGCTGCCTCTACCTAAGACAGATCCAGAACATATGCAGATGGGCCAAAAACCCAAAATTCACTTAGAAAGACTGAAACACTTCCCCCCCTCCCAAACCTGACATGAGCCTTTCCCTCAAAAATCCTCTTAGGACATTGAACTCTCCTGAGGGCCCACTTTGACCATGATATAAAGTTGAGGCCCAGTCACCTCAGGAGTGAACAGCACTTGTCACACTGAAGATTCCTCCTTTGCTTTCAGGTGCCAAAACTATGAGCCAAGTAACAAGAGTGATCCTCCCCTGGCAGCTGCATGAGCTTTGTGTAGCGGTCCCAGCACCTTCCTTCCTGGCTGTAGTAATACTGGAAGGCACATCCCATTCTCCCTTTCAGCAGGAATCCCGACCTTTCAGTACTACTGAGTTAATAAATGCAATTTCTGACTAAGAAATTAGATCCCTTAAGAAAAGTCACAAAAAAATCCCAAAGTAAACATGGTTTGCTTTAAATAGTTCAGTAGAAACCCTCGACTCCTGAGAGCCCTTGCGCAGGGCCTCTGACTGATGCTGCATCCAGAAGGGCACCTGCAGCAGTGTGGAAGGTGTGCCGAGTCACAGGTAGCAAAGCCAAGATGGCAGCTGCTGCTTCCTCTTCACCTCCCGAAGAGGACCAGGAGTGGGGATCAGCTGAGGGCAGGGCTGGTGTTTAGTCTTTGGGTGTCTTCTTGCTGCGTGAATTCCACATGCCACGTTTGGAATGGTAGTAATGGTAAAAGTTCCTGAGTCGCAAACGTTCCACCTCCAGCCCACTCTGAAGCACCCTGTGAGCAAGCCAAACAGAAGGAAATCAAGAGACAGAAAGGTAATTTAGTCCTCCAACTAGACATCCGTTAAGGACTTAAACCACTTTCAACTATGCCACTAAAACACGTGCTGAGACTCTCTCTCACCCTTGCTAACACAGGGTATAATGTGGGAAAGAAACGGAATGTACATTTTGCCAACGGAGATTTTAAAGTTATTGTGTGGTAACTGAAGAACAAACTACTTTTAAATGCCATGTGTGAAAACATCTTTTAGAGCCTGCCTCCTAAACTATACCCCCTTCACACCTCTTTAGCATACACATTTGAGAGCATGTTCAGTGTGTCATTTGCAAACCAAAGCTGTAACACCCTTACTCATCTCCCTGTGACTTACTCCTGAGTAAATCCATACAGCAAACCTGCTGGGCTGCATGGCATTTAGGGAGAGATTCTCATCAGCTAATCCAGATTTCTAAAATTTCTCTCTTAAGCTTTGCCAAAGTTTGAACTTCCAAAGGGTAAAGTAAGATTTTTTGTTGTGGGCAAACACTTAGTGCCTAAGGATATGCATGCAGGGATTTGTTGTTAGTTGCATATTTTATTTATATTCTGTTTATTATTGTGAGTATATATAAATTGCTTTGGCCACCGACTGCAAAAATAAAGGCCTCAGATTGACAAGTAACTCTTGTCTTCTTCCTCCTTCATTGCTAGCATCTGACTGCTTCCAGATGGCGACCTTTTCGGGTGTCAAACATGCTGACATAAGAGAGGATAGAACTGGTATTGCTTCCTGTTACTCCTTGAAAATAAATGCTTTTCTAACACTCCCTGGTGCTAGGGGGAGACTACCACAGGACAAGTATACAGTTCCCTGGGGCCAGTTCTGCAGGACAGATAAACAATGCTTTTTCTTTTATGACTCTCTCGGTGGAAGAGCAGAAGGGGCCAAAATTCACTGGTGGGGGCAAAGGCCCCTGCCTCTGCTGTGTGCTGGCAGCACCCCAAAGAAAATTAGGAGGTTGTTCTAAGACTGTAGCAATCGAAGGGCCCTCAGATGAGTTATGTGACCCTGCAATGTTGGCATGCAAGTTTTAAAATCAATTTACTCTACATGGTTAAATTTCTAAAGACATTTGATAATTTGATAGCTCTACCAGATTGGTTGAAAGGAAGCCTATAAATTAAGAAATAAATGATAAGTATGAGGAAATCCCGGTTTTGGCTTTTTCATTATTCTTTGAAGGATATATATATATATATCACTCATCTAACAACTAAGGGGAAAGGGTTTCACTTCTCCCAGTGTACGTCGGGGACAGGGAGACCTTGCAGGTTTCCTATGCAAACCTTGGGGTGAATGGCTTCCCCTTTGTTAAGCAGAGGTTAAAATCAAGGGTGAATGCAGCATCCTAGCCTTCTGAACACTACAACAAGGAACTGGGAATTGGTGGCACATCTTGAAATGAAAAAATCTTCAAGTAGACCAACAGCCTCGGGGCATTTCTGCAAAGTCACAGTAGAGGCTCCAATCACATTTCAGATTTGGCATGAAAGCCCCAGGCCCTTTTCAAAGTCAATTGAACAACATCCAATAGATGGAGGGGTGGTACAGCTTTGCGTTGAGAGGTGAGAGAGAGGCTGTGCTGCAGTTTGCCCCTTCTCAATTAAAAATGTAGGCAGGTGTGTGCAGCAGCAGAAAACACAACCTCCAAATAATTCCATTAAAAAAGGTTAGAACATTGCTGTTGGGGAAGGAAAGGGTTAATTTTGTTGTCCTTCAAAAAAGAGAGAGAGGAAAGAACAAAAGTGGGGGGAGAGGCTAGAATGCTAGAGAATATCACCTTCTTCCTTAATATAAACATAATAGTGTTTTAGGGCATTAAATTTGTCTGCGTGGTGCTGATTATGCCCACCCTGCTCAGGGATGGCAACAGGGATCTTGAACCATGCTACATATGTTGAGGCCTGCACATATGACATCATTGACTTGTGACAGATGCCTCTGCAAAGTGCAGTAGACCTCAAGATCCTCATCTCTACACCAAACGTTGCCAGCTATCTACCCAGAGTCAATAAGCCTGCCTTGTCCTGCACCAGGTCTTTACCCAGCACTGGGGGATTTTGGGGCTCTGGGCCATCCCAGAAATCTCACCTGTCCAACAGCTCCCAGTCCTCTCCACCCCAGCGGTCCCGGAACTCTTCTGTGTTCATCCCACCAATACGGTCAAAGTCAGATTTGTAGATCCCAAAGAGGCCAAAGCCATTCACCTCCCAGTAGCCTGAGAAAAATGAACCAAGAATGTTGCCGGGATCTTGATATGGAAGCAAGGCTATGCTTGAGAGCCTAGACAGTTCTGGTCTCCCATTCATTTTGCTACCCAAAGAAGCCACTCTGTCCTCTGCTGGCAGCAAATATTAGATCATGTGGATTCAAAACACGTATAGGGATAACTTTAATTAGATGAACTTCTGTGAAACCAGGACTTGTTTCTATTCTTCTTTATTCATTGTTTATAGAAATTATATCCCCCCCCTTCAGTAGTGATTTCAGGGCAAGGTACAACAATTTAAAATACAACCACCAATTAAAACAAAGAAGGAAAATATAGTGAAAAAAATCATTGATCTATCTATTGTTACAACAACAGGGCCATGTTGCCCCCACCCCAACATGCTCAGTGGGGAGATGATTCCACCACTTGGGAGTGAATTGCCAAGAAGGTCCTCTGGCAAGTCCCAGATCGCCTGATTCCAGTTAACAAGGGGACTGCAGAAGAACCTTCCACAGCCAACCCCAAGCGTTCCTTCAGATCTCCAGGTCCTGAGCCATTTAGGACTTACATCTAAAACTTTAAACAAGGCCCAGTGACATGCAGTTAGCCAGCGTAGGTCTTTGAGAACCAGTGTTATATGGTCTTGTGCAGACATATCCATTAACACTCTGACTGCTGTTATTTTGCCCCAAATGCAATTTCCAGACCATCCTCAAGGGCAGTTTCACATAGAGCTGATTGCAGGAGCTTACTAGTACCTGGATTGCTGCAGCTGGGTTATGCCTGTCCAGGTAAAGTAAAGGAGTCCCCCGCCCCAGACTATGCACCTGTCCCTGTGATGCAGTGCACCCTTGTACAGAACAGGCATTCCTATTTCCTGGTCCCAGGAACCACCAATCCATAGCAGCTCAATCTCACCATGGTTTAGCTTCCATTTACTGTCCCTCATCCAACCCATTAATGCCTCCACACATTGTTCCAGTACCTGCCCAGCTTCAATTGACCCAGACCACCTTGTCCGTGCTGACTGGCAGCAGTTCTTAACAAAGTCAGAGCCCTGGGAGAAGGCAAGCGTATTCACACTGCTGCCCAATCTGTTCCAGGGCTTTTCTGCCCCAGATTTTCAACACAGTGGTCAAAAATATGAAACAGATTTCAAGTGACAAGTACTTGGCAAAAAAGGAATGCCTACTGCACAAAGTCCAGATAGCCTGAAGATTTCAGATAATATATATGGACCCGTTGACACAATAATAAATAATTTAATAACACCAGGTATTAAAAACCATAGCATTGGTGTATGCTTTCTCTCTAACACTCTCTCTCTCTCTCTCTCTCTCTCTCTCTCTCTCCCCCCCCCCTGCTGCTTTCTACTGCTAAAACATCCACACACATGCTGAATCTCTCTCCACAGTCTCACTTGGCAGCGTGACTATTCAGGGCTTTTCTTGTCAAAACCATTTAGAGAAGAGCAGCCAAGTTAGGTTTCCCAGCAGTAGAGTCAGAGCCCAGGACTCCTGGGTTCTTTTCTGAACTTGTGGTGCACCCCTCAGGCAAATGGTCTGGCTTTTCTCTGCTGGGTTGCAAAGGGGATACAAAACTTCCCTGACGGAGTCACAAGAGGTTTGAGCTGAAGCCTACAGAGCAGCTGTCAACCTGCATGTTATTTCTGCTCTGCTTAAGAGCAATGAGAGTGAAGTTTTAAGGAGGGTTTCAGATAAGAGGTTTTTATTTATTTCTATTTATTTATGAAACGTACATCCCACCCTCACACAGGGTGGTGCACAGCAATATAAAAACATGTTTTAAAATTTTAAAAAAATTAAAAAGCACCGAAAGCAGTGCAGAACAATCATTAAAACAACTGGCTACACTAGAAGGTTTTAAGCAGCTGCATAGGCCTGTTGGCATAAAAATTCTTCAGGAGACTTCCAAGAAAATTAAAAGTGAAGGTGGCTTGCCAAATCGGTGCTGGAAGAGGGCTCCACAGCATTGGACGGGCGACACTAAATGCCCAACGTCTAGTTGTGGCCAATTGGGGGACAATTAACAGCACTCCTCCAGGTGATCTCAGTGATCTGTGTTGTGTGTCTGTAAGCATCCTGTAAGAGGGCTAGATGGGAACAAGGGCACAATTATTGTGCCAGCAGTTTGGCTATTTAACTAACGTTTGCTGCCCAACACTAAGCTGGCTGTGTGAGGAATGTAGCTGTTATGTACTGAAGTTCTCACCCTGGGCCAGCAGGGGGATACTGTAGATAGTTTTCACTCAGGTCCACGTCAGTTATTTTAGGCGGGGAACCCTGGGTTGTTGTTGCTACAATGTTGACAGCTGGCTGCCTATAAAAGCAGGCCGGCTGAGTTGTTTGCTGTTCAGTTTCTGTTCCAGCTTACAAAATAAAGAGCTGCTTTGGAGAAATCACTGTGTCGTCTGCCATGTCTACCCACTATTCAACAGTAGCCATGCTGCCTCTCGCGTAAGCAGCCTCATTCATTCAGACAGTCAGTCCAGCCTCCTCCACTTCCTCAGCAGCCAGACGTGTTTCACTTACCATTCGGCTCTTGCGGAGAGCTCCCGCAGCCCAGCCGCATGACAATGGGCGCATAAGCCAGCTTTCCCTCCACACAGTGCTTCCGGATGCTGTCGAGAATGTTGAGGGGGAAGTGGATGTGCAGGTCGCACAGGAACACAATACTGCTGCCATCCTGAGGGATGAAAGAGTGGCACAGACAAGCCATGACAATCAAGTGTGAAGCCGTCTCGGCAACACCTATCCCCTTTGCCCTTGGTCCTCACCTCTATGGCGTCCACCCCAGCCTGTAGTCCTGCTGAGCGCTCAAAGTTTCCTGTGCGCTTCAAGTATTGGTATCTGTGAAGAAGATGCACACCAGTGAAATAGGTGCAGAGATTCTCTCTGTGTGTGTCTCTCTGTCTCTCTCTTTGTGTGTGTAAGCCCAAAGTTGTGGGGTTGTTTTTGCATCTTTTGTAACCTGGTTCTAACCACCAAGGACTTCCAAATACCAGGAACGTGGAAACAGATGAGTCCCACCAGCTATAGGAAAACACCAAACTGCAAACAAGGCAGGCTAGAGACAGTTACATATTTTAGTTGATTAAATGATATACCTTTAACTCAACTGAATTAAGTATATTTAAATAAATTTGCATGCTACCCTAGCCTCAACTTTTTAGAGCTGTTGAAAGGGTTGCAATACTTTGCAATTTAATGGTGGGAAATAGATTATTCCTTCTTTTTAGAAGGGAACATCAATGTTTTCTTGTTCTTTATTAGTAACATGCTTGAATGAAAAGAGACTCAGCAAATGAATAACTGTCCTTTAACTTTGAGGCCCACTAGTTAAAGTGGTCTGTCACTGATTAATCAACTATGGTTGCACACCTAATTGGGAAGAAGTACCATGAAATTCAGAGGGATTACTTACAAGCAAACATGCAAAGGATATTGTTTAAAATGCAAAGTTTAAAGTCCATTACAAATCTATGTATGCCAATTCAGAAGTAATGCCATTCTTTTCAGTGGGGCGCACTCAAGTGTGCTAAGAGTGTCTTAATCTACCAATTAAACTGATTGAAACTTGAAGCCATATGGATATTATTTGCAGATTGTCATCAGGTTGGTATTTGGTCACAACTCATAAAGCAAAGACATCATCATAACACAGACTGAATGGAGAAATGGATGTAGCAAGGGCAATGTGCACACAGACACAACATGCTTAATAGGGCATCTGATTTCAGCAGGCATGGTCCTATCGTTGCCCCCTCTTTCCATACACACATGATCTAGGGTGTTTATTCTATTGCCATTTGCTCTTCAAGCCTCATGTTTACAGACAGCTAAAAAGCAGGCTAGTCATGCACAATACTGAAAAGTCTGGAGAGGAAATAAAGCTGTAGATAATTTAAATGGCTTTATTTATCTACCTAGCAGCCAACTGTACCCACTGTATCATCCAAAGTAATGGGCTTGGATATCATTATTGGTCCAGCTCAGAAATCAAGCAACGGTGGCTTCAAGACTTGAGTTGTGCAGGCACAGAAACCTAATGAGACAGGCTCCAGAGCTTCCGATGTTCCTTGCATTACCTGGGCAGGTGAGCTTCCTGAAGTGCCTTCTCCACATCCATGTCGTCACTATCAAAGTCTACCAGGATAACGTTGAAGTTGGCATCCTTGGTGTTCAAGTATAGGTTAGACATGTCTGAGATGAACTGCTGTACCCAGCGTGCTTGGTTTTTCACTGTGCAAGTTATGAAAACAGGCCGTTAGCATTTGTAAGCACGCTCAGTCCATGTTGATGGGGGAGGATCTTCATGACAAAAGACTCGTATGATCTATGTGGACACATATCAGCAGTGGCAAGAGAATAAGACTCTCAGCATGTGTTTCAAGCATAGCCAAGACTTCAGTGGCATTCAGCCTGTGGCAATTCAGCATTCGGCGAGCAGAAGAAGGGAATAATTACACAGTGAGTGAATACAAATATATAGTTAAGAGCAGCCCTGCTGGGTCAGACCAAAGGCCCAGCCAGTCCAGCAACCTGCTGTTTCCCACAGGGGCTAACCAGATGCCTCTGCAAAGTCCACAAGCAGGACCTGAGTACATTAGCATTCTCCCACAGCTGTTTCCCAGCAAATGGTTCTCAGGGACATGCTGTCTCTTATCCTGGACTCGGATGTAGTATACATCCATCATGATAGCCTTGACAGCTTTATCCTCCAGCATGAGGATATCCTCCCAACACTTACCCTGAACAGAATTTGTCAGGTTAATGCCCATCCCCCTGGTTTGGAGAGCATCTTTAGGAGCTTTTTGCAATTCCTTTTTGTCTTTAGCATCCTGAAACATTGGGTATTACCCCCAAACTTAGCCACCTCGCTGCTCACCCTTAACTCCAGATCATGGCATATATTTGGCACATCCACATTCTCATCACAGAATATGGTATTTGTATGACACAAATTTTAATTAATTTGCCATAGGTTTTATCTTTCCCCCAGCGGTACAGGACTTGGCTTGTTGCTTTTTTGGGAGTGGGGGGGAGGACATGGTACACAGAGCTGTCTGACTATAAGTAAGTAAAACACCATGGCCTCCTCACTGCCTTTTTGTTGGGGGAAAGCCAGATTGCCTCACATCTGTATTCTGTAGTAGTCTTATAATTTACAAAATGAGGAAATCTTGTGGGAGGGAGGGATCTTATGGGAAGTTCAGTTCCTGCACTAGCTTCCCAATTGGGGTATGGATAAAGATATTTCCCATGTGATTTTCCCAAAGAGGTACACCTGGTGCTGATAATACAGTCTTTGTAGTGTCAGGTTAAGATGTTTTTATTTATCAAGGGATTCTAAAGGGTTACGTTGCCTCACCCTGCTTTTAGTTTCTATAGTCTTATAGCCTGTCCATTTGTCCACTGTCATAAAGGAAGTTGTTTTTGTTATATTTTGTACAAAATGTGTATGGTACACAGAATCAACAGGATGAATGGCAGCTCAGATATATTGTAAAAAAACAACAACACACACACAAAAAACATCTTCTCATTTCATCTGTCACCCAAGTGCCCCAGGGAACAACAGTGGAGAGGCAGCAACGCTGTCCCTTGAGTAACCCATGAATTGGGCCAAGGTCCCAACCAAACCTTTCTTGGTCTAAAGACCTGCCCTTACCCCCTGCCCTGAGAAATGAAGGCAGAATGAATGAAGGATCGCTGCCTGCGATATGCAGACTCAACCCAATTTCCCCTCTGGTAAAACAAGTTTTGCAGGCGGCTACATTGTTATAAAGAAACTGCAAAACATGTCTGAGCAGGGGTGACGGTAAAACAAAAGGAATATATGTATACAGCAGGGGAAAGGAAGGCATCTCTCAAACCACTTTCAGCACACTTTTTTAAAAAAGCCACTGTCGGTGGTTGCCAGTCTTGTTTTGCCACACACACACCCCGCCCTTCATTCCACTAGTCCCTAAAAAAGCAGCCATTCATTTATGGGATGCAGCGGACAGTCCCTTACCTGGCACCACAAAATGCACCATAACATTGTGCCTCCAGCTAAGCCGCAGAGGTCGGCACAGGATGGGCTTCCCATAGAGCAGGCTCCAGGCACTAGGTGATGGCTGAGATTCAGTGGACACTGTTGCAGGCCCCTCGGGGTTCACTTCAGTGCTGTCCTCTGATTTTCCCTGGTGCAGCAGGACATAGATGTACTCTGAGAGCCGCACAGTCCTCTGGCCTCTCTCCATCAGCTCCAGCTCCATCAGGTATCGGTTGCCCCGGGCCGTGTCTCGCCTCTTCTCCACATTGATGATCCTCAAGAGGGTGTAGATGCTGTGAGTGGGAGAATGGAAAGCTGACGCAGTCCCGGCCTAAACCAAATACCCTCCTCGCAAGAAGCTACCTTGCACCAGGATCACATTCAGACCATACATTTAAAGTACATGGGATCTCCCATACAACAACAATAATTTTATTATTTATACCCCCCCCAATCTACCTGGGTTTCCCCAACCTCTCAGAGCTACCCTTAGCAAACTACAGTTCCCAGGATTCTTTGGGGAAAGCCATGTGGTTTGAATGTATGGTGTGGCGATATGAGCCTGGTCATGTTATGCACACGCCAACTGTCTAGTCTTGACTGGCTGTGGCTCTCTAGGGTTTCAGGCAGGGAAGGGTCTTTTCCCATCACCTGCTCCCTGAACTGCCACTTTGAAGGGGAGACACCAGGGACTGAACCTGAGGTACTGCGTGCACGGTATGTTCTCTCACTGGGGCCCTTTCCCACTCCAGAAATGCCTCTCCTTGTTTTAGGAGCTGTAGGGGCAGATTAGGAGAGACGCCGATGCACACAGAATGCTCCCCTAGCAGCTATAGGGAATACAGGGACAATAATCTTTTTGCGTAGGCTAGCCCTGCTCCAAACAGGCCTAGTCAGCAGAAACAGGGTCTATGAAAGCAGGAGTGCCACAGCTCTCTCACAGGGGGATTCTTTAGGCGTGTCCATAAATGGGGAGGCCTTCAATAAAGCAGCAGGGTGTTTGCGTGCCTCACAACTTAACAGAGGTAGGAGGAACAAGGGCATAGGTTTGTGAGAAGTGGGACTTGGGAGAATCTGCTGGTAGTTCAGAAGTAGTAGTTCTGGCTGGATCAAACTAGTGGCCGATTTCTGCTTTACAGCATGCAGAAAGACTAAGTAGAAGCCTGATTTCTCAGAGTCCTTCTGTGAAAACGTTATCTGTTTTATCACAATTACCCCAAGAGTTCATCTGCCCCTCCGTTTCCCAGGGGTTGTGGTAGGCCTCAGTTACTGTGGCAGATTCAATTCAGTTATATCTGCTGATTTACCCCCTTGCCCACTGATCGGAGGAGAGCTTCCAGCTGTCCTAAGTGAATGCAGCTGTCCTTCCCAAAGGGTAAGCTCTTTTACTGTCTGTATGTCTCCTGAGTGGAAGGGGTGGGCGTGGGGTCCTCATTTCAGCCCCTGCCTATTGTATAGACACTGTCCCCTCCACACCCCAGTTCTCCCTTCCTACCCGCCATTCTTCTCGTTGAGCTTCTCCATATACTGAGCCACCACGTCCACCACCTCGCTCTCGCTCAGCTGCAGGTTTCCCGAGACGTTGCACCGGAGGTCGTTCCAGTCCGAACGCAGCAGCTCAAAATCCACAGGGCTGACGCTGAACGTCCTCTGCCAGTTAATGGAGTCCTCCAGCCAGCTCTGCTGCAGCTCAGAGTTCTCGTAGCTGTAATCGGACAGCTCCTCCTCGGCCTCCTCCCCCAGGGCCTTCTCTGGGCCCTCCTCCTGCTGGGACTCTGTCATCTCAGACATCCGCAGGAAGGACGTCACTCGCACGCCTTCAGGCAGCACCACCTCAGAGGAATTGTAATCCAGGGTGGTCCTCGCCGCAGTGGTGACCTCAAAGGTTTCTTGGCTGAAGAGCCCTTCTGCAGGCAGGCTCAAGGCACTGGGCCGCACCCTCTGCTTCCTTCGGGCCTTGGGGGCCTCTTGGTCATACAGCTGCTCCCATTTCCTGCTGGCCTGCTGGCTTTTCCTTTTAGAAGGGTCTTTTTCTTTGGAGGCATTGCCAGTGAGCCAAGGGGTCCTATGGCCAGGGATGGTGTGCAGCTTGCTGGAGGGGGCAGGCCGCCGCTGAGGGAGCCTGGAGTTCAAGTGCACCTTCCTGGGCAGTTTGGGGTAGAGAAAGACTCCGGGGAAAGCCTCCTTTTGGGACGGGGCCTTCTTCTTGCTGGGCTGCAGCCGCGTCACGTACACCTTGTCTGGGGGCTTCTTGGTCTCTTTCTTGGGCTGCCCCTCCTCCTTCGGGCTCTGCTGTTTGGCCTTCCCAGCAAAGAAAGGCACAGAGAGGCGAGGCTGGAGGCCGAGGGAGCTGCCTCGCTTAGGTGGCAACAGCAGCCCCAGCCCGCCCTCCTTCCTTCCAGCCTCTTCGTCCTCCTCATTCTGTGCCCAGCTGAGGGACCGGCCATAGAGAACCACCTGCTCCCCAAAAGGGGATGCCTTCCTGTAGGCCTGGGGTGCCTTTGACGGAGTCACAGGACTCTGGCTCGGTCCAGTGTTTGTACCTGTGGAAACAGGCTGCCCGGTCAGGGTCCCCTCTTCATTAAACCTCTTTTGCTTCTGGTTGAAGGCATAGTAGTCCACATCATTCCCATAATCCTTTGTGACAAGGGGCCTCTCTTTCCTCTGAAGCCCTGTGAACACATTTGGATCCAGAACACCCGGGCTCTTGTCCTCAGGGAGTGGGTCAGTGGGCTCAGGACTGTCGGCTCCTTCTTCCTCCTCTTCAAGAAAATCTAGAAAATAACCAGCAGCAGAGCATTTAAAGTCTCATGGGTAAGTGCAGGGGAAACTTGAAGGCAAGAAGGGTTTGGAGGACTCTAAGGCAAGAGGCAGCTGAGGAAGAAAGGGGTTGGGGGAAGGCCTGGAACAGAAAGCAGGGGAGGGTGAGTACTGGGTAAGCAAAGTCTCTGTGTACCACCATGGCATGAGGTCAGACCCTGAAATAGATTGGAAAAAGTGCAGGCTGTGTCTGTGAATGTCTCTAGTACTGAGGGAGTGGTGCTTTGTCTGAGCAAGCATGGTTCCACCATGTCTAGCTGCCCTTTCCTCAGGGCCTCCTGTTATGTTCTCTGGCCTACATATCCCTGATGACCTTTCTTTCCCTACCCCTGGTGCTGGTCAGCACAGTCTGTAGGATCAAAATTAACTAAATGACTTCATGCAAAATGGGAAAATGTGTACACGCCGTGCGGATTTGAATAATTAATTTTAAATGCATAATTTTGGTCTCTTTGGGACTTAACAAGGCATTTGGATGGCATAGCCCTGCCCTCATCCTTTGTACATTTCAACCAGATGAATCGAGAGAGAATTTCCTCCATACTAAGTAGTAAAAATCACATAAATTAACTGAAGGAGAGTCAAGGCTGCATATCAAAGGGATGGCGAAGGTCTAATATTCTTGCTGCTACAAACAAGATTTGGAGGTGGGGAGGAGAGTACTGATTGTATTTCAAGGTATTCACAAGCTTGGTCTCAGCACAGATGGGCTCTTGGACAGCTTGCCTCTGGATTGCAGAGGTCGCCTGCAGAGGTTGAGGTGGGAGAGGGGCATTTTGTCAGCAGAGATTAGGAAGCTGCTGAAGATACCAGAAAGCTCCCCACAGAACATGGCAGGAACCAGATACTCTTCTTCCTAGGTGTTCAGTGGTGGCAGTGAATTTGTCCATGCCCCTTTTAATGGAGGTAGCCAGGGCATAAACCCCAAGAATTCCAGTCTTTGGCAATAGGTACCGTATTTTTCCGTGTATAACATGACCCCTATTTTTTGGGACTCCAAATAAAGATATCCCCCATATGCACTATCCATGTATAAGACGACCCCCAATTTTAAACTTGAAAGAATTGGGGGGAAAGACAGTCTTATACATGAAAAAATATGGTATATCTCATGGCAGCTTTCTTGCATGGGAGCCAGAAGGAAAATCAAAGCGACAAAAAATAAAGAATCTCTGTAAATGCATTCAGGAGCCAGGCTGGTGAATAGCAGCCTGCAGCTACTCTCCCATCCTCACCAAGCAATCTGTTGCCATTACACAACCTGCCTGGGACTGCAATCCCTGTAAGTGGATGGCACAACAGACTTGCTTGTTCTAACACCAGTGAAACACACAGAATCACAGAATTGTAGAGCTGCAAGGGACCCGGGGGTCATTCCTGCAATGCAGAAATCACAGCTAGAGAATCCCTGACGGATTCCAGCCTCTGTTTACATAACACACACACACACTTCAGAAGCTGCTTATAAAATGGACAGAGATCAGAGTGTGGTTCCTGCCTGATTGGAGGAAGCTGTATTTCCCAAAGACTACTTACTCTCAGGATTCAGGAAGAGAAAGGCTCTCTGGTGTGGATCTTCCTCCTCCTCCTCTTCCTCTTCGTCCATCTTCATGTATTTGTAAAAGCCAAATCTGGAGGGTCAAGCAACAAGTCTCAGATGATAACACACACACACACACACACACACACACCACACACACACACACACACACACCTGTGTTGCTCAGGGATAAGCCTGTGGGCTTTTGCTTAGCAGGGAATCCTTGTAATAGGCACCCAGCCTACTTTTTCACAGAGGCAGATTCCAGAGGGACATACTACTGCAGTCAGTTGTGGTAAAAACAACAGTGTGGTGGCACCCTGAAGACTACCAATGCATTGTAGTATAAGCTTTTTGGGGCCCTGTTAGATGCATGAAGTAGTCTCTTACGGAGGTAGACAGCGGCAGACATATACATAATAGTGATGGCAAGAGTCTCTTCTTGAAGTTGAGCTTCAGAGCCCCTTCGTAGAAGAGACCACAAATTGGCCATGTTTGCCATAGAGTTGCATGCAGTTGAAACAGATTACAAAATGGAAGGTGGGAGGTAACACTAAAGCCAGAGACTTGACTTTGAAATATCCCGAACAGCATCAAGATCAATGGATTATGCCATTATGACTCAGAGCAGTTATGGATGTTAGGGAAAGAGGGTCAATGAATGTGAACTGAGTTCTCTTCCCCTCTTGCCAATTCCAATCAAGCCGCAATGGAAAGTTCCTTCCTTAGGTTGACTACTTTGTAGTACCTGTAAAATTTCTCAGCCCCAATGGCAAACAACAGTGACCAAATCTCAGAGGGCCAGGTTCACCACCAACCCTTCTATGGTCCTATGGTCCACATTCATGTTTGCTGCACCTTAGATTTCACATTTTACACTTAATCTGCCAGGAGATTTGCAATCTCTCCACCCCCAACAAAGTACATCTGATGGGTTTCTGATAGCTCTTGGCAGTCAGCTTCCTTACTGCCCTTCCTGGTTCACACTTACTTTTCCAAGTAGAGCGGAGACTCCCTGTAGAAGCATTTGTTCTCCGTCTCCATGTGCGTAAGCCGGGTGAAATCATTGGGGTAAACAAATGAGAGGTAGACCTGTGGGAGGGGCAACCTGGTGAGAAGAGTCACAGCAAAGTAGGTATGTTTCCACTTCCTACAGGTGGAGGAGGAAAGGGGTCAATTATACTGGCCAGGAAGGAGAAGCTGCTCCTGGGGCCCATCCCAGAGAACACATGGCGGCAGGCTGTGGGCGCGAACACTACCAGCTGGACCCAGGAGTGGTGAGAATTGCACATGCCTGTACATTGTGACGTAGATTCTGAAATCTACCTTTTTGGTTTTTTTATTTATTCAGAATCAAGCTCCCACCACTGCTTTCTGTGCTTGATAGGAATCAAAGAAGCTTTTGGTCGGGTTACAAGTGCTCAGGTGGCAGCCAGCACAGTTATTTACCCATTCCCTTCTTTGTCCCTGCCCCATCCTTCTATCCTGCCCCCAACTCCCCATCTTTTATGGTGCACCAGCTTCAGTTCAGTCCGTGTTATAAAGAAAAATCTGCTAATGCCGCTGGCCAAAATGACCCAGCGATGTCTTTTGAATTTGGTTCCCAGAGCAGTGCAGGTATAGCCTGCCCCCCACCCACCAACGTAGGGCAATGTGTGTTACAGGTGCATAGGAATGAGCGATGGCAAAAGTAGTGGAGATACTTCTCCATGGACAGAGAGAAAGCTAGGCTATAAAGCCCATATGGGGACACTTACAAACTGCAGGCCCTGATAGCGGGCAATAGGGAAATCCTTCACCACGTACGTGGGGCTGTAAGCACAGGGCACCAGCACATTCTCCACGTGGGACGGCTCGATCTGGGGAGCTGAGATAAAGGCAGTTAAGCAAGAGGAAGAAGCCACAGGATCAAACCCAGAGGTTCCTGAGTCCACCTGCCTAGACTGTTACTCTCTGGACTGCTACATAAATACCAGACATTCTTCTCCCTGGCATCTAGTATTCCATAAAGAGGGTTTGTTTTGTTTTTTGTAACATTCATTCATGTGATCTCCTGATTTGTTTTTTAGTGGAAGAGTCCAGAATAAGCTTAAGGATGAGGCAGATAGGCCTAAGATTTCTGCTAGGAGTGTGTGTGAGTGTGAGGCGGTTCAGTGTCCTGCATAGCTCAATTCTCATCACTGCTAGAAAATCAGAATTAATGTTAAGTAGTAAAATTTGTAGAACAAATTATTAAAAATAAGCTAATTTGCATGATTTTTTGAAATGCTAATTTTATACTTGTTAAAAGTATCCATTCTCAGCACAAGCACAGAATTTTATGTTGCTAGGCACAGACACTGTAGATAGCCTGGGCTGAATTAGTCCACAATGACTGTTATATCGTGGAGGTCTTCTGCTTTTGATCTAGACTGTAAGCCACCATCTCCCCAAGAGGTCATTATAGTGTTACTCAACATTCCTGGAGACTGAGAACCATCTTCTGTCAACATACCTTCTTTTGAGACCAGGATTAATCCAGTCTTGCTGGAAAAATCGACTCCCTTCCCCATCACAAAAGTCTCACTTTTGGCAAATGCAAAGGTGACCATCTTGTCTCATAGTTTCAGATCAATAAATATCCTGTATGAATGCCTCCTTCATCCTATTGCCTCAGGCACTGATATTTAGCTAGCTCTCCACTGAGTGCCTGCTCAAAACACAGTAAGGGGGATACAATGCTCCCCAAATGTGTTTCTTTGATGGGTAGGTTGCTTCCAAACAAAGATGCTCTTTCTTGAGCTCCACCAATTCCCCCTCCTTACAGCGAAGGGAGCCAACATAGGGGGTTGGACTAGATGACTTTCGGGGTGCCTTGCAACTCTACAGTTCTATGATTCTATGACAATATGCTGAAGATGTTGTTGGACTACAACTCCCCAACATGTTCCCTGACATCATGGCTTTTCCAGCTACTCCACCCTTCGTTCTTGGAAGGTGTTGTTGCAGGAGAAGGATTGTGAGCAACATCATGGCAGAGGTGTTTCTAGGAGTAAGGTGAAACTGTGAAGCTCCCTTGTTATTTCTGCTACTGGTTGGTGCTGCAAGTTTAAGTAATTTTGTTACGTTTATAGAAATGTGATTTTTCTGGTATGTTGTTATATTTTGGTTTTCCTCTGTTATGAAATTGTTACTATGCAATTGCTTTGCAACAATATTATAACATTGTTTTGTAGCATTTCTTTGAAATGCATCCCTGTTTCTTTGTTGTAACCTGCTTCAAGTGGGAAAGTGGCAGACAATTTAAATGAATGAATGAATGAATGGTCACTGGCCCTTTTGGCTTAGGCTGGGGGGCATTGTAGTCCAACAACACCAGGAGGACACCATGTTGTCCATCGCTGTCATTAAGAGTGTGGGACGGGAGGGCAGTGTTAGCAAAAGCTAGAAGGAGGCATCTTGACGCAATGCCAAAGCTCTTGCCTAAACTAAGACCACTTAAGCATGCATAAGCAGAAACCCCCATGCCCCTGCTAATATAGGCAATGCCACAAGTGCCTCGTCATTCTTCCCTCCCTGCCCACCTCCATTCCTCTTCCTCTACTGCAATGGCAAGCAAACAGACTTCACTGGAAGACCCTTTCTCACTTACTGAGGAAGAAAGTGTCCCGAGGGTCAGGCTTCAGCATATCTGCTCCATGCTCATCTCTCTGCGCACCCCAGAGGTAGCTGCCGGAGTGGCTGGCGAGGGACTGAGGCACATGCCCCACCTCATTCATTTTCAGGCTGGATTCATCTGAAGGGGAGGAGAGGAGAAGAGAAGGAAGAGAGGGGTAAAAGAGGGTGGGTGACTAGTGAAGGGCAAATTCACATCTATAGTTATAGCAGCAGCACTGGATTTTTGTCTCCAGGATTTCCCACAAATGTCAGGTGTAGCTATCAAGGAAGGAAGGAAGGAAGCACATATTGGGTGAATTAGGGTGTGTGTGTGTGTGTGTGTGTGTGTGTGGTTGGTTATGTTTCTGGGCGCAAGATATATGTATGCCCAAGACCCCTGCAGGCCTTGCTATGCTATTAAACCCAAGAAGGTAGGAAGGAAGAACACTGCTTTAAATATCTCAATTCTTCAAGAGGAATGCATGGCTTTTTTGGAGCATCATGACTGTGTTTTGGATTAGGCACCGATATGGCTTCTCTCAAAAACCAAGTCTAGAGCTGAACAGTTATAAGGCTTCTGAGATGGAAAGCTATATCTAATGCGTAGCGGCCACATCAAGGCCATTATATGCTCTACACAGAGACCTTCCGTCATAGGCTCCAACTGTCGGAAGCAGCAAAAATCTCTATCCAGCCTCCCAGTCTTGCCTCTGCTCCAGTGGGAACTGGCACCCTCCGTTTCCTTAAAGAGAACCCTGTGCCAACTGTGTCACTTAGGCAACCACCTAATCTCAACCGAACAAAGGTCAAAAGCAGCTCATGCCATCCCAGGCCTGGCAGCTCACAGCTCACAGATCTCCAGATGCCTCTCATTTACCCACTTCTAAATACGCCACCAGGGTTAGTCTGAAAATATTTGAGCCTCTGAACAAACAGAAAGCAAAGCAAGGAATAATTTCTCCAGGGATACAAGTGCTCAGAAAGGCAAAGCGCAGCCCCGCCTCCTGCAAGAAACGACAAGACTGCCAGGAACGACATCATCGGTGTCTGGGAGGAACGAAATGCCATATCAATTAAGTGCTGGCTGCCTCTAATGTCATGTTTATTAGATGAGGCTGTCTGTTTGCACAGATCCGTACTAGGTAACTGAAGCAAGGCGAGCACAGAAGTGCAAGAAATTAGAAGGGCTGCCCTCCGCCACTATCTCTTCATCTGTCTTCCCACTCAATCCTAGTAAGCAGAGGGGGAAACACAGTCACCTGATATGGCAGAGTCACAGTACAGAAAAACAGAGCCGGCCAAAGACTCCACAAGCCTAGCTAGAATGATATGGCGCTCATGGGGAAAACATCAGCACTGTGGTTACATGAGGGGAGGCACTTTTGTGGCTCTATGGCTCACAGCTGTAACACAGGGCAGTTGTTCTCAGTTCTAGCCAAAGCCTTCCTGGATAAACTTTTAGAACTGGTAAAGCAAGAGAGCTAAAGGCACCTCAGAACTCACACATCAACTGACAGACTAAATGAACTGGGCTGGTTAAGGCCAGAAGACATACTGTGCTCGCAAAAAACAAAAAAAAAACCACGCAGAATATTCCTGAGAGGGCTATTGGGCTAATTATCAAGGAGTTAATTTTCAAAGGGCAGCTCTTTTGATAAAATTTTATGGCAATTTCTTTTATTTAACTCTGCCACCACCTCCAGTATTCCAGCACTGTGCTCTCTTCTGAAATGGCAAGCTCTTTTTACATACCGTATTTTTCGCCCTATAGGATGCACTTTTTCCCCTCCAAAAATGAAGGGGAAATGTGTGTGCGTCCTATGGGGCGAATGCAGGCTTTTGCTGAAGCCTGGAGAGCGAGAGGGGTCGGTGCGCACCGACCCCTCTCCCTCTCCAGGCTTCAGGAAGCTATCCGCAAGCCATGGGAGCCCGCAGGAGTTTCCCCGGGCTCCCATGCCTTGGGCAGAGCTGCCTGCACCCCGAAGCCCCGGCGCGCTGAGCAGTCGCGCCGGGGCTTCGGGTAGCTCTGCGCAAGCCGCAGGAGGGCTCCCACGGCTTGCGCAGCACTGCCTCTTATCCCGAAGCTACCCGAAGCGACTGCTGAACGCGCCGGGGCTTCGGGTAGCTCTGCGCAAGCTGCGGGAGAGCACCCCCGGCTTGCGCAGAGCTGCCTCTCATCCCGAAGCCCCGGCGTGCTGAGCAGTCGCGCCGGGGCTTCGGGTAGCTCTGCGCAAGCCGCGGGAGAGCTCCCCCGGCTTGCGCAGCGCTGCCTCTCATCCTGAAGCCCCGGTGTGCTGAGCAGTCGCGCCGGGGCTTCGGGTAGCTCTGCGCAAGCCGCGGGAGGGCTCCCACGGCTTGCGGAGAGCAGCCTGTTCTGGGGGCTGGGGTCGGGGGAAGCTCGGGCTTCCCCCACCCCAGCCTCGCACCTTGGGGGGAAAATAATTTCCCCCCCTTTATTTCCCCTCCAAAAAACTAGGTGCGCCTTATGGGCCGGTGCGCCCTATGGGGCGAAAAATATGGTAATAAACTCTGAATTGCACCACTGCGCCCAGACACACTTCACTCTCAATACAGCTTGAAAAAAGCTGGGGGCAGAGACACACACCATCAGCTGGGATTGTGCAACAGCCAGGGCTAGCTTCTGCTATTAGCCTTAAGCAGAAGGCATTAGTAGAAAGGAACTTGTGAAGACTGCATAAAAAAGCACCAATTAATTTTAAAAGAAAAGGAAAAAGGGGAAAAAAAGACTTTGATGTAGATTCTAAGTTAAGCAAGTTCATGGAAGGAGTTTCCTGCCTCTCTCCTCCCCTTACCCCTCTGCAAAGTCTCCTGATCCATGTGGGATGGGATGGCGGCGGTGGGGGTGGGGACTTTGGTGGAGAGAGGCTGGTAAAGTTTCCTCCCTTAAGTTAACTTGTGCAGCAATTCCTCCCTCCTCCAGCAGCCCCATCCCAAATTGTTCGGCAGGGCCTCCCAACCTCCCAGAGAGGCTTTTTGAGGAGGCACAGTGAAAACGACAGAGGAAAAAAAGGATGGGGACTTTCCCTTCCATTAGGTTCCTTGATCATTTATCTTAGGAGGATCAAAGGCTTTAGGATTGTATCCAAGGACGTCATCCTGTTCACACGAAGGCCTTCTGCCTGTGGGACAGAACTTCCCTTCCCTCTCCTTAGCAAGGGGGTTTCTGTCAAGACCAGTTTGTGCCTTTTGAATGAGGCATAACCTTCGGTGTGAAAAAACAACAACCCTCAGCAGCAGAGTGCTAAACACTATTAGATCGTGAAGTCACAGCAGACAACACCATTTCCTTGTGTGCTGCTCTGAAGGCGATCGGGCGGAAACTGCCTGCCCTGAGAGCAACTGGCAGCACCTAATGCCATTTCGATTCCTCCTAAGCAAGGGGTGCAGGTTTCAGCCAAAGTGCTTAGCACAGCAAAAAGTCAGCTTAGCAATCAGGTTGACTCTATTCATGTGGAGGGTTCAAATGTGGGGGTGGAGAGGGGAAAAGGGCAGTGGAGGCTCAAATTGTGGCTTCACACTGCAACGCCAGAGCAGCAGACATTCACACTCAACTCTCCCGAGTTTTCTGTTCAATCAATAAATAAGAAAAGCCTCTTTTAAAACAGAAAGGGAAGGGGGAGGAAAATATAAAAGGGAAGAACTATGTAGCACATACTGGAGAAGTTAATTGCACTGTGTATCATTCTATTGAAAAGAGCAATGGCTTGCTCACACAGCCCAGTTGCCTGGGACAAGGGAGAGGAATGGCAACATTAACTCTCTTTTCTTGTGTCAGCACAGCCTGTGCATGGTCTGCTGGAAGAAAGGCAAATGTACCCATCACTAAGCACAGGTGGTTCTCACTTGCTTGCGATTTTTTTTGCTGCCAAGATAACTTGCATTTGGGAACAGGGTAAAATCAGGACTACCTCAGGCATTTCTGATTGTCCCCTGAGGAAGGGGAAACAAACATAAATGATTTTATTGTTGCAGCCATTCCCTATTTGTACAAAATTTACCTACCTAGTGCTCTCAAGACAGCCTTGGTCAAGGAAGTTACGTTACATTCAGAGACTGAGCAGTGCTTTCTACATAGTGCTCACAAATGGTCCTCTCGGGTGTTGCTCCCTGGTGCCCTCCCGGCGGCACACCCCACACTTTTTCTGACAGCGCTGGACTGGCACATGCCAGCTGCGTCCCTCCTGGGAGGGATATATTCCCTGGGGCGGCATGCCCTGTGCTGCTTGCCCTGCCCACTTGGGATGCCCCACCCCATGGCATGGCGCACGCACACACACCCCACCACTCCAGGCACTGGTGAGGGTTGCTATACTGGCATGTTTTTGTATCCTGTGGTCCCACTGAGATTAGAGAAAAAGTAAAGAAGAACACCTCCTCCCAACCGGATGAACAGCAGAAGAGGGCAGAATGAGGAATTTCAATGCAACCCTCAGCTGACAAAAGCCTGGAAAGTTCCCTGTTGCCTAGGTTAACTGCAGACAAAAGGGTTCTGCTGATGTAAAACTAGCTTATGATGTTGACCAGATATTCCAAAATGCTGAGCTGGAACTTGAGGAATTCAATATTTGCAAATCCCAATATGAACTCTCTTGATCCACTCCTCCCAGACTAACGTGCAGGGTGGAAATTAAGCTAGCCGGCAGCTTTTGCACTTTCTGAATGGTCTGGTGCAGTTATTGGCTCAAAAACCAAAACACATATAAAATGCATATTTTGATAGAAAATATGCTTAGAATATTTTGAGGGGAAAATATATTTTAAAATGCATATTTAAATGTGAATTTTCTTGCATCTCTCTCTCTCTCTCTCTCTCTCTCTCTCTCTCACACACACACACACACACACACACACACACAAATACAGAAACAGGGCCAGAACAAACATCTGGGTGGATACATTCATTAAGTGAAACAGACTGGAAATGTGGAAGGCTTGGTTACTAATAGTGGATGTCAGAGACACAAGAGCTAACAAATGGGCAACTTTAGGAGTCAGGGGTGGGACCTTCAAGCAGGTCCTTGTATAAACCCAAATTATCCGGATAAACCATCTCTGCTTGATTTGGCAATTGTTTCCTCCCTCAATATTGTTCCTATAATGCTAATAACAAGACTCCTTCAAGGCAAGCCTTGGTAGCAAAAAACAAAAAATCAAATAAGCATCCTAATAAACCAGAGCAACAATTCTGAAAGCTTTCAACCTATGCTGTGATTAAAGTTTTCCTGGCTATGGCGAGAGAAAAGATGCTTTTGACACAATGAAAGCAACCCCAGTCTCTAATTCCCCAGGTTGAATGCTAAAATTGATGCTTTCAACAATGCTTAATATATATTTCCAGCTTCCATTCCTTTCCCCAGGCAGCCTAGAGAAAATAAGACACAAATATAAAACATACTTATTTTGATTTCCCCCTTTTGGGCATTTGCCCTAAAATTTACTAGACAGTAGCACACAAGCACTTAATGACACAAAAATACGAAGTATGATATAAGAACTTTTGTGCTGTAACACAAGAGCCAACCAAGCCTTCATGCTCTAAAGCACTCAAAAGGCAACCATAAAAGTCGCCTCACTCTTATTTACAAAAATATGCCTCCTGGATTTTCAAGTCACATCTGTTTAGCTCACTGACAAGGCAGGCTTTCCACTCATGCCACCTGACTGGAGCTGATACAGTTGCAGGAAAGCAAGAAGTGGCAGAAAAGCAAGAACTTACTCAATTGGTCAGTGCTCAAATCCAGACTCTGGAAGCATTTCCCAATATGACACAAGGTAGAAAATGGACCCAAGCTGGTGGAAATTCAAGATGACATTATCTGAGGTGGACTGAGAGAACATGTCAGAACAGGGGACAGGCAAAGGACTTGGCAAGCATTATTACTGAATAAGGACTTAGCCATACTTATCTTTCCTCTGCATTTTGCAGGCATGGTCCACCATTTAAAGTTTCATGTCCAAGTGTCCTTTTTTGCTTTTTGCTCCAGAGCTTTCTCTGCAAAAACCTGCACTTTAAAGCTCAATTGGAGCAAGCATCAATCTGTGGAAAACCCAAGTTGATGTTTGCTCTGATTTAGCTTTAAAGAGCAGGCTTTTGTGGAGGAAGTTTGGGGCAAACAAAAACCCAAAAACCCAGCTGCTTAGCTAAAGAGCAGGCCAAAGGTAAGTGTGAAGAAGCCCTAAAGTAACTTATTTTCAATAGGTATCAGAAGGTAGAGTTTGCAGAACCAGCTCATTACTAGAAGAAACAACAATATATAAGATAAAGTAAAGGGCATGATATATGTATGCTAAGTGAATTAATTTGACTCGGGAGGACTGTGGATACATTGAATTATATAGACTATAAAAATACATGAATGAAGCTAATGCTGTAATATATTCTACTGATCATTGGTGATTATCATAATGTTTTATGTTGCCTGCATGTGTACATATTCTTTCTTAAAAGAAAACACAATACATTTTTTATATTAACAAAGAAGCGGGGCAGGCCGTTCACTTTTTGTGGGGGGAGACTGGATGGGCACCTCTTTTGTCAAATACACAAGCCATTTTGATCTAGGAGAGCTCTTTGCATCTACCATTAAAGGCCTGTCTCAGTCAAAAATTCTTCAACACAGCTTTCAAACATCCCTTTCGGGAAAAGTGTGCTACACACAGAAATGACAGGCTGTTTGGTGAGTGAGTGTAGGTCAGCTGTTCAGAGTCTCTTCATACAGAGTATAGAAAGGTGAAGTTGGGGTAAGGAAAAGTAGGAGAGGCTGGATAGCTCTGGCCAGGGCTGGGGATGGATCACTTCCATCAGTGGAAGAGATTCTAGTTACTCCTACAATCCTATGCAGACAGCATCCTGAAGCTGTATAGTACCTATGACTGTTGTAGCACCAGCAGTGTCAGTCTGCTAGTCTGAAAGATGCACATAATCACATGGTAAGATTTAGCCTCTGACATTCATGCCATGGTGACTTCCAGGTTAGACTGTACTAACACTATGACTTAGCTCGGGTCTAGCCAATGTAGTGCCCGGCAATGTAGTGGCTGGATTGCAGCTCCCATCACCATCCCTGACCATTGGCCATGCAGGCTGGGACTGATGGGATTTGGGAGTCCAAGAACATCTACACGGCACTCTGGGTCAGCTGCATGCGCCAAAATGAAACTGCTATGTGCATTTATGGGCACATCTTAGGAGCCCCTTCTGACATCTAAGAATATGCAGAGATTATTGTTGATGGTTATCTGTGCAGCGGCTAAGAATACACTACAAAGAGATCACATTGTAGCCTTTCCCCCTAAAAGATGACACCATCTCTTCCAACTCCACGTGCAATCACTCCTTCTTAATAACTGTCCTGGAGCCAAGGAAGGAGTTTGCAGCTAGAGAGCAAGATAACAAGAAAATCACTCCTCATGGGGCACAAAGCTGCAGATCAGAGGGTGGAGGAGAAAACTCACAGTGACTGATGTATCTGGAAGGAAATATCCCCCCACAGCACATCCATCTTGCAGGCACTTCTGTCAATAGCCCAATTGCCACTATTCCTCTTGTGCCAATCGAGCCCTCGTGCTTCTGTACCAAAGGAGGCTGACTTGCCCAACCCCTCCACCTTATCTCCACCTTCCACGGGATACTTAATTACAGGCGCCTTGTGTATTGAGTGCCAGGCAGGGATCTATTCATCAAGCGCCTCCTGCTGCCGGGCCAGGTTATGAGGAGGGAAGCGGAAGATCTATGGATTTAATTAAACTCGGCACTATCCATCCCTGCTTACAAGACAGGTGCTCATAATTCAGCTCTGGAAGCACCAGCTGACGGGTATTTGCCAAGGGTGCTCTTCTGCTGGCCTCTTGCTTTTCTCTCTGAGATGGAGCAAGACACAAGGGGGAAAGGGCAGCAAGAGCCCGGGGAAAAGAAGAGCAAGGCGGCGACTGCTTATATAGTCTGCCAACAATATATATGCCCAGTATGAACATGCCCAGTAAAGTCTATACACACTCCCAAACCCCCTTTGCCTTTTCATGAAGGATCACAGCTGCCTGCTATCTTATTTTTAGCTTTGCCTTCCTGCAACACACATACACACATGTCGTGATTACAGTTCTTTGCTGGCTCAGTTGCTTGATTCATCTGGGACTATTTTTCTAAGTGTATTTATCACCCCACAGACGTGGAGCAATGGACCAGCTCTTGGCTTGTGCACTAAAAAAAAGTGAATACTGAGAGCTAAGCAGTTGCAGGCAGTTATATACTGAAGGTCTAGTGCACTGGTTCTCAAAACTCTTTTTCTCTGGGCCACATTTTCAGAATGAAAATTTGCTTGTGCCACACCAATTTTTTTTTTAATTGATAAGAAATACATCAGAAAACAAAAAGAAGCAACTCCTAGCAGTGTTTGATTTATAACATAGAACACAACTACTTTATAATTTGATCATGGGACATCCAGAAAGTATAAAACAATGCAGCTACGTAAGAACATTAATTATTCCCAAAATATAATTATAAATGAGCCTCTTACATATGTACCTTAAATATGTATACAAACTCAATGAGATGTGTGAGCTTGCTTATGCCAGGTAATCTCATTTATATTAGGTCCAGTTTGAGACAAACACACTCTCATCTCCTCTTCTGATCTTTTCATATGCAAATCTCTATTCACAACCATATGTCATGGAGAACTGCAGAAGAATAGCCTTGTTCTTGAAGAGAGACATGCATATTGTTTCTGGTTGTATGTATGTATGCATAATATTTTTATACTATACTATGCTATGCTATACTATACTACACTTAAATGTTCAAATGCTTCTTTGATTGTCCTTGAATTTTCTTGCTACACTTGCCATTCACTCCTGCCACAGCAGTGTGGCACAATGCACCCTTTGAGAACCACTGGCCTAGTGAAAGGGCGTTGGACTAAATGACTTCAAAGAGAATTTTCAGCCCTGCACATTACAATTTCTGCCCTCTTTTTTTGGGGGGGGAGAGAGAAACCCACAAATTTAGACCTCTGATGTATCTAACTCAGAAAAAACAAAACCCGAGTTTAGAGGTTTGCTGCCCTACAGTGCAATCATATAGACGTTTACTCAAAAGTCCGTCCAAAGCTCCGTTCAATGGGATTTACTCCCAGGAAGGTGTGCACACTCACTAATTCTCTGTCCTCCATACAAAGAAGCAAGGAGCCTTAGCAGAGTTCAATGACACATTCCAGCCAAGCAAAAACACTCAAGTGCAAAGCCAGAACCTTTGCAAAGTGTGGCCTGGAGACAGGGTGCCTCATAGTACAATGGTGCTTTTTGGCATGACAATGGGAGGTCTCAATACATGGACAACCAATGAACTCTACAGGATCGTGCTGGCATGCTCTTTTCTTTACGTGTGCACCAACTACACACATTGCAGGTTGCAGGAGGAATCCTGTATCAAGCTAAGGCTGCAAAGCCTCAGGGGGGAGGGGCGCTTTACCTGTATAGAGTGAAATGTAGGGTGAATCGATGACCTCAAACTTGAAGCTGGGCAGAAAAACGCGCCACTGAAAGAGACAAGAGAGTGATAAAGAAAGGTCAATCTATATATGCATGTATTTTGTGTGCTCCTGCATGTGGGGGAAAGGAAGTTTGCGGAAGACCAGCTGGTAGGAATGTGAATGGGGAGGAATTCAGGAGAGTCCAGAAGGCAGCCTGCTAGAGTTCCCATTCAATGCCTATTTCACACTGGCTGGCGACTGTTTCTGCCCCATGTGGCTCTTCATCTGCTCTCTGGCGCAACTCCTTGGGAGAACATGTTGCATGGAGGAAGTGTGTGCTCCACGCCCAGCCAGCAGCCTGCTGTTCCTTGGGCATGTGGCACTTTGGGGCTGAGCCCAAGAATCAGGTGGCACTACCCACCATAGCCAGTAGCTTAACTAGGAAAGTTTGCTCTGTGTTTAGAAGTAAAAAAGGAAGAAAGGTGCAGCACACAACTCAAGGCTTTTCCCTGGCTGTAGTTCATCTGGTGCAGCTTCTGGCCTTCAGAACGCAGGTGTGAATCAACTACAGAGATAACAAACTGAGTCACTGCACTGATCCGATAACAGCTTTTTAGTGTTACTAGCTAGTCTGGCCTGGCCACACCCTGCCATTGGGTCATGAACATGCAATTCTGCTGAATCGTCCTGGTCCTTTTCTGGATAATGGGCAACAGTCAACTATATTTTACTTGGAGCAGGCCCAATGAAATGACTGAACATGACTAAGTTAGTTAAACTTGGTTGAATAACACCCAGTATTATTTTTGGTTGTTCTCTAACCTGCAGACAACTTGGGCAGCTGTTACTCAACAACTGCCAGGAGCACAGTCATCTTAAAACATATTAGCACTTTTTTCTTTCCATTTTTTTTACAGGAACATTGTATTTTCTGAGCACTCAGCCAATTTCTTTCTTTCTTTTGCTGGGAAAGTGAGAAGTGAGTGCTGTGTGGAATGAAGTTGCCCAAGTGTCACACTGTCTGGATAGTGCCTGGGTCATCAATATGATGGGTGCCTCCTCCACTGCCCAATATGTGCCATTTGGTGAACTTTTTCAATAAGTTCTATTATATTTTAACTCTTCCTTAAAAATATATAGAAAACCCAGCAGTCCTCATGCAGGATACACATGCAGCCATTTAAAACATCAACACAAAAGGACCCTCTTAGCCTCACCACATAATGAGCCTCCTCTACAAGCATGTTTGTGTGTTAATAAATTATTTGCAGGCCATATGCTTATTTATTTTATTAATTTTATTTCTATACTGCCCTTCGTCTTAGCATCACAGGGAGGTATACTGCCCCTCTCCAGCAATGAAGCACAATTACAAACTGTTTGGGAGATGCTTCTGAGCTCTCTGACATTCAGCTGAACCCTTGTTCCTTCTTTTGAGTGAGGAACTGTAACATGCTGTGGCTTTCTATTAAAAGGGCAAGCAAAGGGTACCTACACAAGTAGTAAAAGAGAAAAGAAAAGGTGTTGGAGGGCAACTCCACCCAAAGACTGAACCCAGCTCTTCTCTCATTCAGAGTAGGAGCAATGGGATCAGTGAACCAAACACTGATTCAGTTGACTGAACTGCCCTTCCCCCACTTGCCCATGTGCATTTGGTTATTTTAAAAGCAAAGCACAATTTTAATTTTAAAAGGCTGTTCTGGGTAAGCAAAAGTTGTTTTGTAATGTCACTGGCACCAGCCAATCAGAACTGTGCATACCCAGCTTCTGCTGTGAACACACACAGAACTGGGAGGGAAGATGTTATTTTTTTAACAAATCCAAAGAGTGTGCGCACACTTCCATAGCAGGCTCACCATTATGCATGTCCCTGAGAGGAAGCGCTTCTGTACCATCATTGTAAGGAACGCAGCCCAGGATTTTAGCAGAGGAGAGTCAAACAGCTGCTATTCGGGCTCACTGCTAATATTTCTGTAGCTAAGCAGACATACTGTTTTGCTATGTAACAGTTTGTAATGTCGAAACACAAAGTAGTTTTAATAAAGGCTGCTTCCTTTTCTCCTGCAGCAGGCTGGAGATTTATTATTGTTAATCGGGGTGCCTGGAAGGCCTCTGTAATGACTGACAAGCTTTCCAACATCGTGTAAAGTGGCAAAAGCAGTAATGTGTCAATGTTCATCTGTCTAGTTTACACACTTGCTTTTAGACAGGCCCATATGCTGTTCATTCTGCACATTTAGTACTTATGTAGACATGCTAAATAGCTGGTGAGCAGGAAGAACAACCTTGCATGCGTACGTGCTTCATATCCATCAAAGCAACCAGACGATTGGTGCATATTATTTTAAAGCAAAGATAAATCCCATCTGGTATTTTTTTTTCATATTCCCTGCACTCTGGGTGTTACACCTGCCAGGGTGACCTAGAATCCTTTTGGCAGAGACTTCACAGCAGAGACAGGCAGCCATTGGGAAGGAAGAGCATTTGCACTGAGTAGCTCTTCTTCCTTTTAATTTAGATGTGGGATGAATGGAGCCTCTTTAAAAAGACTAATATTTCACCTCCAGCAGCCTGCTGTGCAGCAAAGGCTTCTGTAAAGGGAACACAGCTCCTCTGAGAGGCATGAAAATGAGGCTATTTTAAAGTTTCTAGGAGATGGGAGACATTTTATCTTGAGAATAAAAGAGTTTAAGAAATTACCAGCTAGGAAGTCCCTCTCATACTCCCTTCTGGCTCTTTCCCCAGAGAAGGACACAATTAATTTTAAGGAGAAAAGACTTTTCTCCTCAAGCTCTGAGGAAAATGAGAAAAATGGTCTAAGGAATAATCTTCCTCCCTCCCTCTGCTTTACTGTAAAGCAGATTCAGGAAGTTTAAATGGTGGAAAACATGCTTCATTCTGCTAGCTTTGGGGGGCAAATATGTACCTTTGGGTGCCTCATGGCCAGATGCTTTTTCCTCAACTGGTAATCTGCAAACTAATCCTGAGTTAATAAGAGCCATTTCAAAACAGACCGGTGAAAGCTGTGCTAAAGATGTCTTTTTGACTATAAAGGCTTCTTTGATGGGGATGGAAGGTTTATTTACTGTCAAGATTTTTAGTCAAGAGAGCACAAAACAGAAGGCTTCTTGGCCTTTTTTTGGCTAAGATCAAGTGTAGGTCTGTTTCTATTTTTCAAAACAAGTTTAATATTCCTACCAGGTGCTCTGTACCTTAAAGTGGGGGGAGGCTTGAGAGGGATTTATTTACTCACACCAACTTCCACATGGTCTGAGCCACGGTCGTCCTGCTTGTGGAGGAGCTCGAAGTAATAGCGCCTAGAGGAAAGGAGACTGTGCGGGAAGCAAAGGAGATCATTAGAAAACAGCAAGCATACTTCCAAGGTTACATGAATTCGAGGACTGCCATGCTGTTGTCCCTGAGGAACTCTCAGCTACAGCAGATGCTGGAGGGCCGGGGAACAGAAATCTTAGGTGAATGAAGCTGGTGAATGAAGCCAGTTTCCACCCACACTCTTCCACACTGACTCTTCGGCAATAAGTATTGTGTGTGCCCAGAGACAGGGGAAGGGGAAGGTAGGGCTGTGGTTCTATTTGTACTGTTCAGTTGCCATTTTCTTAGCCAATTTCCTCCTCTTTCCAGGATCTCTCAAACACCATGATCTAGCTGGAAAATGCACTCCGTACCCAAGAGTGGAATTCAACAGCACACTAAGGCAATTGTTCTGTCTCTGCAACCATTTCTGCTTGCCTGATCTCCCCTCTCCTTTCCCCATGGGCTGTCCTAGGGGTTCTCCCAACCCTCCTGAGCAGCTCTGGGGAGGACACAGAGGGAGGGGAGAAAGTCCCATTGCAGGACTTTTTATGCTAACTTCTTATAGCGCAATAACTTAGCTGAATATGGGCCAAAAGTGTGCTCACCCGCCGCATATCAATGCTCCAAACACAGAAAGAATTGCGCAGGAGTGTGCAAAATCACTCAATGTTCCACAATGTATTTATCATGGCATCAATCACATTTTGACAGAATTAGGAGCAATTTAGCAGTGGCTGGTGTGAGGAAAAGAGGAAGAAGATGGTGTTGCAGTGGCCAAGCGCTTGAGCTGTAATCTGAAAAGTCAAGTGGTTTAAACATCATCTCAGCCACAAACATTCCTGCCCCATCTCCCCTTAGTCCCTCAACCTCAGCTCTCTTCCTGCTTTCCTTCTGAAATGTAAGGGCAACAACAACAATCTGTTTTGCAGCATGGTTGTAAGGATCACTGAATGCTAAGAGTCAAAGCCATGGTCTTTAAATCACTTGCCTGCCCTGTTTATGTATAAAGCATAGGGTTGGGGGAAATCTGCTTTCAACATCAACTCTGATACTAGGAGTGAACTGGGATAAAAGAAAAGTGCCTGATGCAATGGACTATGGAGAAGTTACAGCTCTCCTCGCCCATAATAGTGTTATCAGTACAGACAGCAGAGTCAGGATGGGGAAGAGGAGATAGATATGGGAACAGAGAAGAGGTACCAGAGAGAGAATGGGACACAGGCATGCATAGCACAAAGAAATTCTGCTTTCTGATTAGTGGAAGCACCACCTGCAGCCTCATTTGGCAATACAATCTGTATCACGCGCTGTCCACATAGGTTCAGTTTTTTTGCCATTTAAGTTCAGTTATTTTCTGTACAACTAGGCTAGACTCAAGACATTTCTTCTTCCTCCCAACTGAAATCTGGATACCTTCAGATGTGAGCCAAATTCCAAACCATGCAGCAGGATTTCATATAGGACACAAACACAGAGCCTCAGCACAGGAACAAAGCAAACTAGGAAGGATTCAGGAAGCAATCAGGAAACAACCATCTACATTGAAAAGGAGTGGAGCAAAAGGTTTAGGAATAGAACTAAAGAACAGATATGAAGAGAATGCTGCCAGCAGTTCTGGAGGCAATAGATGCCCACACCCAGTTGACAGAGGCAAGGCATTGCAGGCGCAGTTGCAGCTGAGATCCCGCTGTTCGATCACTGCTGCCTGTCAGTCCTGATCAGTGAGAGCAGAGGGCTCCTAAAATCCTTCTCACACAGGCTCTCGCTGGCTTGGTGTGCTGCATGCCACTGCTGCCATGGTAACCATATCCATCTCTCACACAGCGAGACAGAAGGCTCTTCTCTGCCTTAAGCTGCCCAAGACACCAGATACTTGGGATGCTGGGTTCATTTCACAGCACACACAAACACCCTGGGCTGACAGACCTTTGGTACTTTTCATGCAAGAGATTGTCAAGTGCTGGGAAGAAAGTGCAGGCCAACCCCATGGGGAGAATGGAGGGGTGGTGGCTGCCAACTTCAGCTGGTGCCTGCTAACTCAGCTGCAGCCATGGTTCAGCAGAGATGTGGTGCTTCAGAAGCCTGGCGGAGAGAGTAGCTGATCCATAGAGCTGGTGGCAAAGGCAATGGGCCAGGTGGAATCTTCCTGGAAACATGGGCTTGTACAGAACACCTCAAACACAAATAGCAAGGAGAGGGACTGCCCTAACATCAAGCAGCCGCCAAAGTGGGAGGGACTAGAGTGGACTGGAAGAGCATGTGCTTTGTATGCACAAGGTCACCTCTGGCAGGAAAACAAGAGCTCTGCCTGGAGACCCTGCTGCCAGTCAGAGTACAGTACTGGGCTTGATGGACTGTTTCCTATGTTCTCCAGGCAGTAGCCTCACACGTCTTCAGACACCACCCTCTGGAATTCAGTCACTGGCTGCAAACAGAGGCACGTGCAGACACACTGAGGATTATTAGGCATGGCGCCTGAAGGGAGTTGCCTAGAAAAGCTAAACACTTCTATTGCTTCTGAGAGCAGGGTGCTCATATTTGGGAAGACACTGAAGGGTAGAAAGAATAAAATTGACTGTGGTGGTTTTCTTCATAGTTTTGCTTTCTGAACATTTCCAGGTTTGAATTCGCTCGTCTTGATTACTATCTCTTTCCCACTGTAAACAACTAATTTCTGGTAATATTGCTGCCATTTACAGTCTTGTGTTATGTTGCAGTTTGATTGTGTTGCTGCACTGACAAATCTTTTTCTTCTTCAACTCTCACTTCTTACTTCTAGTGTTACTGTTCTGAATTATCTGTCCCCTTTGTATTTGCTGCCAACTTGCTTTGGGATCTCTTGTTATGATCAGGTTTAGTTTCTTCACTCTTCTTCCAGGGGTGGCCAGTCCCATTTTGCCAACTGACATGAATGGGAAGGTGGTTCCCCTGCCTTGCTTACCAGTCACACAGTGGCTTCCAGAAAAATCTCACCAGAAGCCATCACACAACCCTGGCGCTGGTGGCGGGAAGAGTGCCACCCTGAGGGATTCCACAGCTCAAAGCAGCTGCTTCAGTCCAGGCTACTAAATGAGCAGGCTAGTTCTGTCTTCCTCCCTCTTTTAGCTAGGCCTCAGATTTCTTGTTCCATGACTGATCTGCATCCATTTTCTTCTGTCTTTCCATAGGCTGAAATGCTATCACTGTTAATATTTAGCATTTCACTCTTCACTTACTTCAAACTTTGAAACATTTCCCCCCAGCCATTACTTCTTAACAGTTACCTACTTCTTCTCTTCCTTTTTAATACAGTGGTGCCTCGCAAGACGAAATTAATTCGTTCCGCAAGTTTTTTCTTCTTGCGAGTTTTTCGTCTTGCGATGCACGGTTTCCCATAGGAATGCATTGAAAATCAATTAATGCGTTCCTAGGGAAACCGACTTCAGACCAGGTCCGGGGACAGTCTGTCCCCCGACCTCTTCTGAAGGCTGGGGGGGGGACAAGGGCTTTTCTTCCCACCCCCAGCATTTTAAAAAACCCCGGGACAGCGGAGGGCTTCTCCGCTGTCCGGGGCGATCTTAAAATGCTGGCGGGCGGCATTTTAAAATCGCCCCAGACAGCAGAGGACTTCTCCGCTGTCCAGGGCGATTTAAAAGCCCCTGGGAAGGCAGGCAGGGGGGACAAAGACATTTGCCCCCCGCCCTCCTTCAGAAGAGGTCCAGGACCTCTTCTGAAGGCTGGCGGGGGCGAAAGTCTTTGCTCCCCCCCGCCTGCCTTCAAAAGCTGTCCGGCCAAGGCTTCGCGGACCTCTCCACAAGCACCGGGAGCGCTGCCGCTGCTTGCGGTGAGTTGCCGGCATGCCGAAGCCTGCGCGCGCTGAGATCAGCGCGCCCAGGCTTCGCGGACCTCTCCGCAAGCAGCGGCAGCGCTGCCGCTGCTTGCGGTGAGTTGCCGGCATGCCGAAGCCTGCGCGCGCTGAGATCAGCGCGCCCAGGCTTCGCGGACCTCTCCTGCCTTCAAAAGCCGTCCGGGATAGCGGGAAGCGCTTCCCTGCTATCCCGGACTGCTTTTAAAATGCTGGCGGTGGGGAGCAAAGCCTTTCGGCCCCCGCCAGCCTTCCTGGACCTCTTCTGAAGGCCGGAGGGGGGGGAAGGCTTTGCTCCCCACCGCTAGCATTTAAAAGAGGTCCCCGGAAATTTCCCTATGGGCTTTCGTCTTGCGAAGCAAGCCCATAGGGAAATTCGTTTTGCGAAGCGCCTCCAAAACGGAAAACCCTTTCGTCTAGCGGGTTTTCCGTCTTGCGAGGCGTTCGTCTTGCGGGGTACCACTGTACTGATGTGTTTGTATATCAAGGGAAATGAATAAATGATCAACTTCTTGTAACAAGTTGTTTGAGTAGATGTTGCTGCTCCAGAACATGTACATAGTCTTGTCCCTTACTTTCTTCTTCCTGGAGATGACTTTGGATTGTAGGATTTTTTAAAAACAACAACACCATATATATTTTTAAAACAAACCTCCAAGCCATGCCCAACTCTTCAGCCAAAAACAGGGTTCAGTTCTGCATATGCAGAGACAATACTGCTTAGTTTGGATTTGGCAATGGGGAGGTGTGGTGTGTGTGTGTGTGTGTGCTTAATTAAACCCCTTCCTAGCCAGATGTGAGCAGGTCTTGCTGTTGTTTGGATTTAGGACCACAGGGTTTGCTCAAGTGAAACAATAGGAAATGCATTCATCCTTTTTTCATCAAGCTGCCTAAGCTTTGGACTTACAATACTAAACTTCACAAGGGTGAAAAACAAAAGAGATGAAATCACCCAAATGGGACTACAGGAGAAGTCTTCTCTTTAGCCTTCTGAGTGCAGTAGCAGAGCTGTGTGAAGACTTGATACCAAAATAGCAAAGATGTGGCGCTGCTGCAGGACAGGAATGAGGTGTGACAGATGCAGTAGTGCTGTGGAACGCTTTTTAAAATAAATAAATAAATAAATAAATAAATAATCCTATCTGTGTTACCCCTTTCATATCTTATTACATCCCATTATCCATCAGGTAACGGAAAGAGAATCAAATCCATCTCTTTTGCCATGTGTGTGATGTGAGAGCACTGCTCTGTGTAACCAGGGTGTGTAAACCAAGAACACCAAGCCCTGCTCACCACAACTGTAGTTCAATTGGAGGAGAAGGAAGAGGAGGAGAGGAGAAAAAAATATCTCAAAATTTCCCTTGGGAACTCCAGGACATACACCAGGCAGGCTCTTGTTCTCCAAGCTGGCCGAGCTCCAATCAGCTGCTTCAAGGAACTCTGTGTGGCAAATGTGCCCAAACTATTCTTGCCACCACCAACAGTCCCCGCCCTTCCCTCCCACTTCCTTTCATCGGCTCCCTAATTAGATTACAGCACTGAATTGTTCCCAGCTAATCATCTGCAAGGGAATCTGAAGTATATTCACACCCCACACTGAGCGCTTTTAAATGGTAGCCCCACAGGGGTGCCAGAAATCTTGCAAGGCCTATTCATGTCTTATTCATGAGCCAACCACAACCCTTGCAGGCAACAGTCTATGACAGCGGTTACAGGGAAACCTTGGGCTCTCCCCATCTTGATTGTTTAGAGGAGTAACAGGGAACCTGTGGTCCTCCAGATGTTACTGGACTGCTATTGGGAGTATTTTCTTATGGCAAATCCACTGCACCATATATGGGTGCTTATCCTGACTATTTCAAAGAGATCAGTGAGGAAAATAGTTCAGTTCAATGCCTTTTAAAGCTGAAATGGGGAAACTACCTGCAGATTCACCATGCGTCTCCCACAGAGATACAAGAGACAAGAGAGACCTGGTTTTATTTATTTATGTCTGGTTAAGAAGACACATTTCCCATCATACACTGGACCTTAACACTGGGCAGGCTTCAACTAACTGGTCCTGTTAGCAGAAGCCCATGCAAGGATTCTGCTAACACAATGATGCTTCCCTCCCATCTTCTCCTGTGCCCCTGGAATTGGCTTATGTGGGGGGGGGGGGAATCCCTAGAACAGCACATGGGGGGGAGGGAAGGGGAGATTGTTGTATCAGTGCAATCAAAATGCTTGCACTGATGGAGTGATCCTCTTAGCGCTATACTGAATTTTCCCCACTAAGCAGTACTATCACACTGATCGGTAGTGACAGAGATCACATTGACTAGTTATGCTGAGGGGCAGGCATGGCACCTAAGCTGGGAAAATCTGCCAATGTGCCCAGTACTGAGGCTTGGTTTGGGCCCCTCTGTTCTCAGAGCAGGTGTTTGTCCATTCATATTCCTCCCATCCAGCCCCTTTTTTGCATTTGGACAGTTTCCCTCGTTTCTTTCTTCCAGCAGCTGGGGGAAGCAATAAGCATTCAGCACACATCTCCACTATTATTCCAGATCTCTTCATGTCCTGACCCTAGCAAGAAAACTCTGCATGCCCTGCTCTTCACATTTGTCCTCCTGCCAATCTGAGGGCATGGCACACAGGATACATCGCAGAGAAACAAGAGGCGATGCCAAAATGTTTGCAAATATATTTATACAGGGCACGTGACAACAGCCCTTGGGCCACCACTGGCAAGGGAGCAGTTCATAACCTTGAGCAGCCTTTCCCAGCGGCCTCCTTCAGCACTGCCATCGAAAGCTCTGCTCACAACACTGGAGCTGCCTGCTGAATAAAGCCTCTTTCCCGGTGTAGGGCAAAAGGGTCTCTGCAGCCATTCGTTGTGCATGAACAGAACAAGTAAGAGGTATGCAGAGTGGACAGGGAAAGACTGCAGAATGCCATGGAAGTTCCTGCACAGCAGCGGACTGATAGCACAGGCAAAGAGAGGCCCAGACGAGAGCTGCCAGCTCCATTCTGGGCTGTGTCAAAAAGAGAGAGGCAAAGAAACAGGAAGGGGGAGCTGACAGGACCAAATCTAGACAGGAAGTACCTTCAGACCAACAAGCCTGGAAATAGGACAAAGAGGAGGAGGAATGGAAAGGAGTGTTGCTATGGGAAAAGAAAGATGCAAAGAGAGAGGAAATGAGGAGAGAGAGAGAGCAAAGGGCTCATGAAGAAGCAAGTTTACAGAAACAATTATGCATTTCCCACCTTAGATTGCCCTGCGGGAGAGCTGGCCTTGGGACTGGGAGACCTGGACTCACCCGCTGCCAAGAACTCACTGTGTGGCCTTGAACAAGTCACCATCTCTCTCAGCTTCCATTTGAGAACTGGAGAAGTATCTACCACAGTGTTTCCCAACCTTTTTTGGGCAAAGGCACACTTGTTTCATGAAAAAAATCTCGAGGCACACCACCATTACAGCCCCATGACGTCAGCGCGCAGCGTCACGCCGGGAGGGACGCACGAAAGTGTAAGATTCAATTTTTTTCCCTCCCCCTTGCCTTCCTTCTGTGCCACCCGCCAAAAAGCCAAGAATCGCGGGACCGCCGGCGGAGGGGGGAGGGCGAGCGGAGGCAGCGGCGAGCCCCGTTCCTCCCCATCCGCCCCATTCCGTGCAAGGAGCGCGAACAGGTGTGAGAAGGGAGTCAAACCTGCGGGTCGGCGCCGGGGAACCTCCAAGCTTTGGGGGTGGGGGGGAGGAGGCAGCAAAGCGAGGCAGGAAGGAGAGCACGGCTTGGCGAAGTACTCGGCGGCGAAGGCCAGCAGGTCCGGCGGCCGGTGCCGCAGCACCTCCACCGTGTAGCCCTGCAGCAGCTCAGTCAGACCCGGCGGGATCTCGATGCTCATCTTGTAGCCGAGGCGCGCGGGAGACTCAACGGACGGGCCCGGGGGAGAGAGAGAGAGAGAGAGAGAGACACGACGGAGAGAGAGCGGGAGTCCCTGCTCGCCGTCGCCACCGCTACAACTACTGTGGCGGTTGGTCGTGGTCGCCGCCGCCGCCCACCTCTATCTATCTCTCCCCCTCAGCTTTCTACGCGGGCCTCGAGCCGGAGGTGGGGGGTGGCCGCCGCCGCTTTCTCCGCCTCCACGTCCTGCCTCCTCCTCCTCGAGCCCTCCGTCAGCCCTGAGGGAACCGCCGCGCTCGCGCCGCCGCTCTCTGACACGCGAGAAAGAGAAAGGAACGGAGCGGCGGGGTAGTCGGGGGAAGGAGGGGTCGGAATGGAAGCGCGAGGCGAGCTGCGCATGCCCAGCAGGAAGCGGCGGAGAACGCCAGAGAGAGAGAGAGAGAGAAGCAAGGGAGGGCGGGGAGTGGGCGGGAACACGCTTCATGCGTCACAATAACGGACAAGAGGCACTCGAAGGATAGATTAGGACCTAATTTGACTTTTACCAAAAAAAAAAAATCTTTCGAATTTTCCCCACGGCACACCAGGCAACATCTCGCGGCACACTAGTGTGCCGCGGAACAGTGGTTGGGAAACACTGATCTACCACACAGGGTTGTTCTAAGTGGCAAGTGCTATATGAAGCAGGAGTAGCTAACCCATGATTTCTGGTGGCCTGCAAAACCCCAATGATTTGTCCCCACTATTTTCAACTGAGTGTTTTTGGGCAGCAGGTGGCACTATTGTGCCCCACCATTGGGAGAGGTCTCTGCTGATGTGATATGCAGGGATGGGAGGCGTCACCTCTTATTACCTTTACAAGAGGACCCCTTCTCCGTCCAGTACTGCACCATTCTTACAAAGTTGGTGCCATTGTTGGAAGGCTTTAGAGAGGCAAAAGAAACAGGAAGAAGCATTCCTTCCAGTTTCCTGTCTAAGGACCTACTACCAATACTGCCATACCACAGAGAGAAGAGGCTTTGTTGCTCCTCCCAAGGGCAGAAGATTATCCCAGGGCAGGCACTGCCCTAGAGGGCATAAACACTGCTGAGTGTGTCTACGTGTGTAAACTGGTTGTCCTACCCTTTGCGCTGCATGAGTGTATGCATGTGTGTGAAATGGGCTTGGTGGGCATGCAGATCTCGAGGGAGTGGGAAAATGCTCAAAGGGGTTCTTGAGCCACAGAAGGTTAGCCACCCTGATATAAAGGATAAAGAAGAGAAGAATGGTGGTTTCTGACAACCCTGCATGCTTCACCAGCAGAACATAAGCTTTCCTTCTTTTATATCTCTCCAACAATGAAGCATGTACAAGATGTTGAGATCTAAGTAACATATGCTCACTTGCTAAAATGAAAAAAAAACCACCACTTTCTAAAAACATGCACAATTTCATAAGATACACTTGCAATTGTATAAAAATATTAGTAACGCCTCTTTGTTTAAATATATTATCATACCTACTAGATATGGTTCAGCATTCTGTTTCCAGCATGGGTGAACCAGCTGCTTCTGGGAGCAAACAGGCAACAGGCCTCCCCAGAAGCTGGTATACTATTTGTGAACATGATTTCATAGCTAAAAACCATTGAGAGATCTATCCTCTATGAATTTGTCAAAAAAAAATTTTTTTTTAAAGTGATCTAAGCTAGTGGCCACCATTCCATCTTGTGGCTGTGAGTTCCATATGTGAGTTGTGTGTGATCTATGGCTTCAGGAGTATACTGTGGATGCCTCTGGAGAGGGCATTCTCACACCACATTTAATATCAGATGCTGGGGGATATGGGCAAGTGTTTGCTAGCATTACATCTCACATGGTCACAGCCCAGAGTGGCTGGGGGAACCCAGTCAGATGGATGGGACACACACACACACACACACACACACACACACAGGTCTACAACAAAATATGGACATGGTGTAGGCATATGAAGGTTGTGTACACACTATACCTTTTAAGCACATTCAAAGTACCTTCACGTGTGTGCGCAGCCTTAGCTGCCTAGAATGATCAGAAGGACAGGGTAGCAACACCTACCGGATTGGCTTGGAAACTTGTGAGCTGAATTTTGTGAACTCTCCTGGGGCAGTCCACTCAGAGCCCAGCTAAAGAAGAAGAGGAGAAAGAATGTGAATATGGGGCCAAATTCAATCTTTGATCAAAGGCCAAAACCAATATACAAAAAACTAGAAGAAAATTAGGAACGGCACTGGCCGAAGTCGATTAGAACATCACAATCCACATGGTTTTTGAGTACATTTCAGGGGAATAGCTTGAAGCTGATTCACAGCAACCATGCCTAATTTCCTAAGCAAATAAATTATACTAAGAGGAATATGGGGAAAGCCCTTCATATAATGCTGTCATAATTCAACTGGTAGACTTTTCTTCCTGTCACTGTGTGGTTTTATTTCCAATCTTCTAGTTTGTGTCTAATCTGGTCTGTTTTATATCTACTGCTACAAAGTGCTTATAAAAATCAAATCACTAAGGTTTTCCTAAACAATTAATATTAGCCACACAAAACCCGGGCCACTAGATCAAATGAGAATCCCTTCCATCAGGTCACCTCTGAGTTAATTGATATAAGGAAAAACAAGCTTTGTCTCACAGTGTGGTCTGCGTGACTAGACAGCTCTGTAATGGGTAGGTTAAAAGGCGTTGCCACAGTCCTGCAGGGCTTGTACCTTTCTATTGCAAATGTACAAGATTCAGCACTAGCCTTTAAGCTTTCATTAAAAATGCACGAAAGGGAGTGAGCTACAGCTGTCCTGGGACCTGCAGCATTGAATTTCTTGACTGTGCATGCTGAAGATTTAATTTTGTTTACTTTTATTTGTTAGCAGAACAATCAAATGGTGAAACAAATTTCCAATCTTTGCTTGGCAACAGCTTTACCCACCAGTGGCTTGAGAGACTCACTGCAGACTATAGATCTATTTGGAATAGCCTGACAGTGCCAAACCTTTCAGAAATACTGAGGCAGCCTTTGAAGTATACTGGGATGGGCACTGCTAAAACGTTCGGAGAAAAAGGGAGCAGTTGTGAAACTGGTAGAATTTCAAATGGAAGGTTAGACACTCAGCATCTTGAAGACACAACAAATAAAATCTTTTGGCTGGTTTGATTTCCGATACCGTGCTATTTTTAATTTTATTGCATTGGATAATTTGGATTTTTTCTTTTCTTTGATGTGGTATGTAACACGACTATATTCTGTGCTGCATCATAATTTCTATGAGGGAGTGTTTCTTTTGTTGCATATGTGTTGTTTGACTTATATGAAGAAAAGCAATTTTTAAGGGGGAAGGGGGATGTGGCAATAGCAGTGGGGCAGTGATGAAAGTAAGGAGTCGTATGGGTGAGATGACAGATCAGGGCAGCAGGCCCATGCTTTCAAATGTGTGAGAGTGTGTGTAAGAGAGAGAGAGCGGGGGGGTGGGGGGAGAGATTTAAATTCCCAAAGGGGCACATAGGAGTAGAGGGTATTGGTTCCTTCCCTCCTCACTTCATTCTTACAGTTCATCTGACAGGATTTTCTCCTCCCTGCCCCCATGCTGATGCTGGAAATGAACTTGGCTAGGATATAAACACTAGCTGAAAAGAGGGGAAAGTGGCAGTTGTGAGAACAGCATTTAACACAGATACCCACTTTGAGACTTAATTAGCATTCCACCCCTAGGCTTTACAGCAGACATAGGTCTGCAACTGTCATGCATTAGGTAAAGGTAAAGGTACCCCTGACCGTTGGGTCCAGTCGTGGATGACTCTGGGGTTATATGCTCATCTCGCTCTATAGGCTGAGGGAGCCAGCGTTTGTCCGCAGACAGCTTCCGGGTCATGTGGCCAGCATGACTAAGCAGCTTCTGGCAAACCAGAGCAGCGCACGGAAGCAGTACCTATTTATTTACTTGCACTTGACATGCTTTTGAACTGCTAGGTTGGCAGGAGCTGAGACCGAACAACAGGAGCTCACCCTGTCACAGGGATTCACACTGCCGACCTTCCGATTGGTAAGCCCTAGGCTCTGTGGTTTAGACCACAGCGCATTGGTGGGGCCTAAAACCTATAAGTCATGGGGCCACCATTTTCAAGTTGTGTGTGAGAGGTCTTGGGTTCAAAACACAGACAGGCCTGTCGGAGTGGTGATATACCTTTAAAACATAATATGAAACACAATTCTTCCAGTAGTTATTAGCTATAAACCCCTAAAATGATATTCTCCAACACTTCAGTGATGAAAACAATCTTGTTTGTGATGGAGTGAAACTAGGGGCAGAGTGTGGGAAACCAGCAGAATGGACAGATTCATTACTATCAGATTCATTGCTTGCATGACACGCAGAGACATATACAATATATACAACCGCAACCACCCTAGTCAAAGGTCTAACCCCACTAATCTGAAATCTGCGCTAATTCCTTATCACCTCCTGCATGCTGTTAGCATTGAACACAAGGGCAACAGTAACACTAAGCAAGTGGTGCCCTAAGGCCACAATCATACTTTGCTATCTCTGTCAAAGAAATTGATTTTGCTGAATGGCCTTAGAAATGGGACTCGCCTGAGTATCTGCATCATCTCTGTATCCATGGTATCTATTTCTCTGCTTATATATGGCACAGGAATGCAGTTTCTCCCTGGGCACAGGAAATCTCAAGCTCCAGAGCAAAACCAGAGGGAAACGCTGACAACATGGGTGAAGAAACACTTGCTGAGTTGCTTTCGAGCATTTTTAAGACATTGCACCGGAGGGAAGACTTAAACAGAAATTTGAAATACTGCCGATCTCTCCACCTGACAATACTTTCATTAGTTCCTAGCTGTGCTCCTTAGCCTGTTTCTTCCCAACATAGCAAAGCTTTCACGGTATGAGCCAAGTTTAATGTTTTAAATCCAAACCATTTTGCCGGCTATCAAACGGCAAAGTGCATTTCTCACCCCTTATATGGCGAAAAGGGCTCCTTATTTCCATAATTTCTCCATTTGCTAACGTGGCTGTGGAACAGGCTCTCTTTGCAGCCACCGTGGAAATAAGAGCTTTACCTTCCCATTTAGAACAAAGCAGAGAAATATGTGCCACATCTGTGCACAGGCTTAACCTTGAAATCAGTGTTACTGAGCGAACCAGGTGTAAGGCTCAGGTTGTGAGCCACAGCTGCAGAAAAACATTACTATCGAAACACAACAGCATTTAGAACAGACTCATATACACGCGTATTTGTGTTTTGTGTTATAATAGGTCCAGGTTTTAATTATGCAGCCTCCAGATGTAAGAATCACAGCTGAGTTGGCTCGAGGTTTATATGGCTCCCAGTGGCAATACTACTGGCTACATTTACATTTAACTATCCCAGCAAGGAACCAGGGAGATGACGCCAGATGGCATTGCTTGTAAGAAGACAGCAAGAAGCACATCTATCCATGGAAAGATGCTACAATGCCACTAACGTGTATCTATCGGCCTTCCTATTACAATGTGAGAAGCTAAGAGAAAGCGAAAAATGGATCCCACCTTGCCCACAAATGCCACCAGACGGGCATTGGCTGGAGTCTCGTCAGGACTGAGCCAAAATTCAGAGTTGTCATCTGAAGCTACAGAAAACTGGAAGTCCCCTACAAGGCAAAGAAGAAAATTTGAGCTGCAGGGTGGACTGCAGGAGCAGGTGAGAGCAGGAGGCTTGAGCAATAAGGATTCCATGTGCTGGTGAGCTGGGCATGTTGTGGCTGAGAGAGACAAGCCTTTTCAAGTCAATGTGTCAAATGTCTACTGAATGCCATGGTCTGGGACTCAAGAGCCCCTGGAATGATGCTTGGTCACTGATGGGTGGATGTGGGGAAGGGGGACAGAGAGACAGTAGTTTCTGAACTTCTCTAGTCTGAGATACATTTGGAGGCGTTCTGATGGCATGAAGCCTCTTGACCTGGAAAGGAGCAACAGAGAGCGAGTCCCTCTGCAGTTTCCCATAACTCCCACTGTGAGAGATTAGGAGCAGGGGCAACAATATGCATATAGTTTTCTTTAAGGCAAAGGTATCTCTGAGTGGGAAGAAGGTGAGATCTCAGCAATGAAGCGCAGCTTTGCAGACAGAGTTAAGGGTTGCTAATTCAGCTCACCGTCTTTGAAGGGATGGATGTACCCAAATATACGGAGGCCATAATTCTTCCATTTGGGTGACACAGCCAACTTTTTCACTGTTGTGCGGGTCTAAGAGCCAGAAGAAAAGAGGAAGAAAGTGTTTGAATGTAATATTCCACAACACAGGCCTTGAGCAAATGTACGCTATATTCATTTGTTCAATATTTATCATACCCTTCATCAGTTCTATTGCTCCAAGTGCAGGTTACACCTCAACACACTATCAAACCATACAATAAAAGACTTGGGGTTTTTTTAAAATAAAAAAATAATTTTTATTAAAGATTTTCGCGATTTACAAAAGTATGGGCATTGTCTCTTTTTTCAGGTTGTGTTTTTTTATAGATCAATTACATTTCTTGTGAGACATTAGTGCTGTATGCAGTGTAAGGTTAGGGAAGAAGGGGAGAGAGAGGGAGGTTGGGGTGGTAAAACTTATATTCTTTTATTTAGTGTATGTGTGGTGTTTTGTATCATCATCCCTCGGGTAGGTTTTCTTTCTATTCACTTATTATATTTCCTTGGTAGTGAGAGAGGTGGAGGGGGGCCTAGGGCATGGTTGGTTATCTTTAGTGGCTGCAGTGAGATTTGTTTTTCATGTGTGAAGGTGGGGGGGATTGTTGGGTCAAGTTAGCCATATTGATTTGTATGCTGTCCGTGGATTCTTCTTGTTGTCTACAATAAAAGTTTAAATAACTAAAGCGTCAGCTAAAATATATCAAACAGCAATACAATAACAAGCTGGTAGACCCATCACTAGTCAGCATTTACTCAGCTCCCTGCAAAAACCTGGTGAACATGCTTACACACTGGAAAACAGAGAATAATTTATATTCGCCAAGCCTCCTCTTCAAATTCCTCCTCCCACTCAAGTGTCTTTTGGGGAGATTCATTCAGAAGTTCCATGTGTAGCATGAACCCTTAGCAGATGGATCACCATAGGAGTAATGCATTGCCAGTGTCTTGCATAGAAGTAAGTCAGCCTCCTTGATTTTGTCTGTCTTAAAGCTGGGGCAGGCACAAGGATGTGAACATGGGAATGGGATACCATAGCCCAGAGGCAGTCAATATGGTGCCCTCCAAATCTTGCTGGGACGCCAATTCCCATCAGCCCCACCCAGCATGGCCCAATGGTCAGGGATGATGGGAGTTGCAGTCCAGCAACATAAGGAGCACACCTCATTGGATAAACCTTACCATACCTGATACTGGCCTGCTGAAATCAAAGGAACTACACTTTCATTAGCACTTAGATCAAGTCAAATGCCCTAGTTACTAGTAGAATGGAAATTTACTGCAACAGTGGCTACGGATATTTACTACACAAAGAGAGTAACAGAAAACTCCCTCCTGGAAGTTATGCAGGAACTGGCCTCTTCGTCTTGCAGAATCACTTGTACTTACATGCGGATAGAGGGGGAAATGCAGGTTCTTCCTTAGGTGCCCAACAGCTCCTCCACACCAGTCTTCAAATACATGCAGGTTTGCTTTCCCTTTGTACTGCAGAAGAACAACATTTAGGCTATACACAAGCTCTCCAAGGCAATTCTGTGTGGGTGGGTGTATGCCTGTGTGCGTGTACGTGTGTGACAGAGAGAGAATATAAACATTACATAGTGAAACACAATCCTGAATGGTGACAGGAGCCCTGAAAGACTACCGCAGTATTGCAATACCTCCTTCTTCTGGTGGTGCCAGGTGTACACCTAAGGCCTGCTGCAGACATGGGTAGCCCCGGTGAGCCTGTGGAATATTGAGGGGGCCCAGCCCCCTCCTTTAAAATTTATGGGGGGCCCTCAGCCCCCCCTAGATGGCACCCATGGGCCAGGAGCCTTTCCAATCCTACCTGGAGATGCCATGGATTGAATCTGGGACCTCTTGCATGGGACCTCTTGCTCTGCCACAGACTTTTGGTCCTTTCCCTGATGACTGCTGCAGGCACACCAGTGTTCCTCACAGCAAAGATGTATCTTCATCTTTCAACATTTGTGTAACAGAGCTTGGGAACCCTAACAGGTCCATGATGCAAACTTGTCTAAAGATGTGGATGTATCATCCACATGGATGTGTTTACTGCAGTGAACACCAGCGTCATAAGCGATGTGCTGGGAGCAAAAATATTTTAACCTGTCTTAAACAAGAGGAATAGGAAGAATCCACAAAGCCTTTGTGAAAATATAAATTTACCGTATCTTTTCTTCACCCCAAAATCATAAACTCGGAGCTCAAGCTACTCGAGTCTCTTCTTCTTCCCTATGTCTAGCTCCCCACCATTTTTAAAAATATAACATGCATATAGCAAAACATAGCTATCACAAAATTAAAAGTAAAATAAAGTGGGCTAACAACACTAACAAAAATGTAATAAAAAATAAAAATAAAACATTTTCAAAAGACATTCAGATACTTGTGATCTACGTTAGCAATAGAGACGACATTTGACACATAATGAGCAACAGATCTCTATTCTTCAAGCACTGAAATGTAAGACACAAAAGAATCCTGTTATGCAGTTAATGTACTGGCTAGGTTAGCAAATTCCATTACTTTTCTGAATCATTACTTTCCTTGGGTTTGGCTGTTGCCTTCCAATTTTTGCACAGAGCTGTCTCACTGCAGTTAACACATCCTTTTTAACATAGCTGGAGGTGATGTATGGTGGATTCTGATACTAATTTACGTCACATACCTCAGTAGCAACTTCTATTGCTATCCCACCTACCCCCACCCTCAAGAAAAACCAGAGGCCCAACTCATGCAGTGTGAGCCCAAGCTCTTCAATTACAGCTATCATTTTGGGCTCAGACTAGACAGCTCAGACAAGCTGGAACTGGATGGAGAGTCTCCTATTTGGTAGAGCAGTATATGCAGCATCCATTGAACCAGCTGTTTATTTAGGGCCAGTATGGAGATCTGGCCCAATGCAATGAAGGACATCAAGGTCTCTACTCCCATTCAAGCACGGGGTGATGTTACTGATTACTCCTTAAACATCCTGTGTTGTGTACATACTTGTGGCATAATCAGCACAATAGAAGCCAGGTCAATGATGGTGCTTAGTCACACTGATCAATGCAGAGGACCTTAACTGAATTAAAAAGCTAGGGAGGCGTTTCCTGGGTAGGCATAATTGGGATGAAATTTCAGAAGGTAAAAACTCCTTTCCAGAATTACTTCTCTCCTGTTTCAAACCACTCAGGTGCTTAATTCCTCACAGTCAAGGTATTAGCCAGAATTTGGAACAATAACTGCTTCATTCAACAAACAACAGCCACACTCTGACAGTAGCCATGCCTTGTCCATATCTGTGTCAGGAACACAATACAGGTACTAAAATTTAATTTATGACCATGTCATATCAAATGCATCAGCTGTGGCTCTTTTAACGATGATTGCTAATTAGTCCATATCCCCTTATTATGAAAACGCTTTACCAGATTTAGCTATATCCAGCCCACATAATGGTCCTGGGGATGATGTCCATCTCCCAATGGCCCCCACCCCAAGCCTTTGTATTTAAAACTGCATGCATCACATATTGCCATATCACCCTGGCTCATTTTGCATGCAGTGCTAATCCAGAACATGGCTAAGCATGAACGAGCAAGCATACATGTGTGCAGAGTGAAAACCACAGCCACTTCTCTTCAAGTTCTTTGGCTGCTTTGCTACCTGCAGCCAAGCCGTGGGAAAACCATGTCTCTACCCAACAAACCACAAGTAGTACGCTAAGGACAAACATTGGCTACAGCTCATGGTTTGTTTGGAGCGAGACAAACCATGAACCTAGGTTTGTACCTAATGCTAACCCAAACCATGGCTTTGCTCTGTAGCAAAGTGACTGCCATTTTCGCTCTGTGCACCTGCACATGATGCATGCATTTATGGGAGTGCTACAAAGGACTGTGCCACCTCAGAAGGCTCACGTGTCATGTGTGAAGGAGGCCAGTATAAACACGTTGTTGTTGTTTAGTCGTTTAGTCGTGTCCGACTCTTCGTGACCCCATGGACCAGAGCACGCCAGGCACTCCTGTCTGAGCTGGTTTTAAAGCTCTTTCTTATGGCATCCTCAAAGACTTGTGAGAACCATAGCTTTGTTAGAATGTTGAGAATTCACTGTTAGAGAATATTAGCCCCACCCACCCACAGATCTATGATTCCCAGGATTTCTTGGGGGTGGAGATCTGTGACATTTTAATTGGTTTAAGTTTGTAGTGAAGAGATGCCCCAGTTCTGGCAGGCTGCTCTTCTTTTGCCCGTATCTCTCTCTCATTATTTCTTAATTTCTTTCTCATTATTTTTTTTCAGCCCTCTGAGGCTTATTCTAGTGGTTAAGCACAATCATCTAATTAATTGACTTCGTACGCTCAATATACTTATTTCCCCCCCCCATTATTACTATTGGCCACCCTTTCAGCAGGGCAAGCATAACATGGGACTGGTTCACAGAACATGGTAGTGTAATGAATATATAGAAATACACTGGCAGTGCAGCCATTTCTTAATGAAAAGGTTCTCTCTTGGATGCCAGGCTTTCTAGACTGCTCTGAGATGTTCACAGAACATTGGAAGCAGTCTTATACAGAGTCAGAACATTGGTCCACCTAGCTCAGGAGTGTTTACAACAACTGGCAGGTGCTCTTCCTGGGTTTCAGACAGTTGCCAGCTCTACCTGAAGATGCCAGGAATGGAACTGTTATGTACTGAAGTTCTCACCCAGGGCCACCAGGGGGATACTGTAGATAGTTATGCAAATAAAGGATCGAAAAGTGACGTTCAGTGATTGGATAGTTTGTATGCAAATGAAGGATCGAAAAGTGACGTTCAGTGATTGGATAGTTTGTATGCAAATGAAGGATCGAAAAGTGACGTTCAGTGATTGGATAGTTTTAGAAAATGGCAACAGTTACATTGTTCTGGAGCTCTATATAAGCAGGCTGACTGAGCTCCTCAGTTAGTTCTGCTCCAGCTTACAATAAAGAGCTGCTTTGGAAGAATCACTGTGTCGTCTGATATGTTCGCCCACAACTTAACAGGAACCTAGGACCTTCTGCACTCAAAACAGTTGCTCTTCCATTGAGCTGTGGCCCTTCCTCCAAACACTTTGCTTTGCCTCTGATCAAGCAACATATTCTGTGCACATTCCATGCACATTTGCAATACTCACGTGCAAAGCACAATGCAGGACTAATTAGGGGAACACAAGATACAAAGAAGGGTAAAAGGCAGGTTGGGGCCTTTATTCATGAATAGGTCTACTACTGAGTAGCTGTGCCATCCTGCTACTTGAAACTATAGGCTGGAGCCCTTACAAGTAAAGTGTGATTGTGGGCAAACTAATTTACCTATGGAAATGCAAGGTTGGTACACATGTTTGTGTGCATCCAATGGAGGGGTATTATTGGGTTGTTTTTATTTTGATTATCTATTTTGTGGTTTTATATTTTGATTTTGTTCTGTGAACCGCCCTGAGACATCTGGGTATAGGGCAATATATAAATTCAATAAATATAATAATAAATAATAAATAGTATGTCGGGGGAAGGCTAATGCTAGAAGCCTTCTCTGTTTTTACAAACACAAGGATAATTTAATACAGGGGCATTGTCAAATAAATGATCTCTTGTGTGCCTTCTGAGGTGGCACAGTCCTTTCTACCAGTAGGACTAGAAAGTCACATATGCATGTGTCATTTGATGTTTCAAGCCTGACGTGAATAGCAAATGCTGAGATCAGGAAGGGCTCCTTGCTGTGTAGACTATGTTTCAAACCATCTAGCACAATTGTGGTGGCACAGATAAGCCACAATTTTGGTATGGGCTACTTCACAGCACCACCTGCAGGTATCAGTAACCCAGCAGCAACTGTTTAGGCATCCATTTACAGATATCCACCTGAGAGATAGAGAACAAGGTCATACTCCAGCCTCTTAAGGAGGGACCACGTGAGCCAAAACACTTCAGTTCCTGTAATAGGCCTATAGTTCTACCATTTTAAAATTGTAGGTTTCTATCCTACCCCACAATAACTTTCCGCGGCAATTCACAACAACTAAAACATTTAAATTTCTAACTTATGGAGCAATATAATCAAGTCATCTTAAATGAGTCAGTTTCCTCAAGTATGTGCCTGGTGAAGTACAAAGGTCTTGATCAGCCTTCCCCAACCTGGTGCCCTCCGGATGTTGTTAAGACTACAACTCCCATCAGCCCAAACCAGCACGTCCAATGGTCAAGAATGTAGTCCAACAGCATCTGGAGGGCACCTGGTTGGGGAAGCCTGGGCTTGAACTAAAAAATAATAATCATAGCATTACTTATAGTCTCATTGTGAGTGTTGGAGAAGGCCTCTCCCTCCTCAGGCTAATTCCATCTGGCCTAGGGGGCGGGGCCCAGGCCCACCTCCGTGATAGCTTTAAGGACACTGGTGCGGCAGCAGCAAATGTTAAAGATGCTTATATGTATTTTAAGGTGTTTTAAAGGTGCTTTTATTGTTTACTT